AAGACAATGGAGTTACAGACGCGAGAAAGTGCGAAAGTGTTTTTTCAAATATGATATTTCATCGTCCAGTAGTGTAACTATATAATATGTACTTTTTTCCACTCTAACTTCGATTGTTTGAATTCTCTAACTTCGATTGAAAATGTATAACACTAATAGTTTAAACTCAAAGACAAGGGAGTTACAGACGCGTGTGACGTGACGATCTTTTTTCAAATATGAATTTTCAAATTTTCATTGTCCAGTAGTGTAAGTAAATTGATCGGACTTTGAATACTCGAAAATCCCCATCAGTACCGTAATCTTTTAGATTTACATGTCATTTCAAGTACTGTTTACAATACACATCAATATTTTCTATCAATTTATCGTGAAATGAAGAAATGATACAAATGACAATTAAAAGAAGAAATGTTTGAAAAGAGAAAAGCATACGAGATTTGGAATTTGGAAACTAGCGAGTGCTGAAATTAGCATTTCAGTGAATTTCGGGTGGATCTTTCAGGTGAAAACGAAAGAAAAAGGCACGATGGTTGGAAATCGGAAGGTGGCAAGTGATGCGGAAAATCACTTCACCCCTTTTGCATTGCTTTTCCCCCCTCCCCTTTTTGTTCGCTCAATTCCTATGAACCCGAAATGTTGCACTCGTAAGCCACAAACTACATATTGCAATTTAAAAATTATTTGTTTAACAAGTTTAACTTGTGATTAAATATGCCAAAGAATGTGAGAAGATGGTTTTGATTTCGATAAACTTGGGTGTCCTTGATTACAAATGACGTGTCTTCCTCTTGAGGAAAGCAGTTGCTAGAAGGTGTCGATTTTTACCGTAATCAAACACAAGACTCGATCAATTCAATTCCATTGTATTTCAGTGAAATTCTTATGAAATTCTTTCAAAATTCCACTAATCAAATGAAAACTAACGCTATTTTTCCTAAATATTGGGTTGGTGAATTGAAAGCTGCCGGACTTTGAACTAAAATTTATTCAACATAAAACCATAAATTGATTCGAAATAATTTCCATTATTATTGACGACTTCTGCCCATTTTACAGGCAATTTGCGGATTCCTCTTTTGTAGTAGGATTTTGGTTTGTGTGTGAGACAAGTGTGAGACTCAAAAATCGAGGACTGGAGATGTCCCAGTTTGAGCACTTTCTTCAAAAGAAACCCATTTTAGTGTCAATAGAAAAGTTGTAGAGAAACAAAAATCAAGCTTATATCCCAATTTCCAAAAAGATACACTTAGTAGTTTCGCTTAAAATGCAAGTTTTGTGAAAATTCGTAAATTTGGCATTTCTTGAAAACCAGTTTTTGAATCGTTCTGAAAATTTGGATATAAGCTTGATTTTTGATTCTCTACAACTTTTCCATTGACACCAAAATGGGTTTCTTTTGAAGAAAGTGCTCAAAGTGTCACATATGACAATAGCCCGCAATTTTCAATTCACCAACCCAATAGATAGCCCAATCATTTGCAAATGATAAAAAGTAAACGATAAACATTTCTAATGAAAAAATTTTTTTGATATTTGATTTTGATATAATTTGAGATTTATAACGGTCCAGAAGATGATCCTTGCTTTCGTTGTTTCCATTCAACTCCGCCAATCATCTTACAGTTAGTTTTGGCCTTCATTGTGATCCAACTAGGAAAAGTTCCGGATTCTCTGCTCGGCTCCCAAAAATAAAATGATTTGAAAATGAAAAAGAAACAAAGGAAAAAGAAATGATTTGAAAACGAGAAAGAAGCGACGACGCGGCACTCCCATCGACTACCTCCAAACGGCGGTGACGTCAATTGGAATGGGATTTTAAAATTAGCCGGCAATTTTCAATTCACCAACCCAATAGAACATAAATTGAAAGCATTTTTTTTAACAATCATTGCTCCAGATTACAGAGATTTAAAATTTAAATTGTTTTTTTTTATGCATCTCTTCAGATTCACATTTTTCATGCATATCTTTTCTCTTTCTTTTCAAGAATTGAGTTCCGATTGCGAAATGCGAAACGAAAATATTGGAGATCTTTCTTCTTAATGAATCTCTTTTAAGAAGAAAAACCTTAACTACCGTATTCTCTCTAATAGTATTGTAGTATTGCGGTCCAGGAGGGGATTGAAAAAATATTAGTGCGCACTATTATTACAGAGAATACGGTATTCCAAAGCAATTGATTTTACTAGATCAACCTTCCTAGGTGGCTTGAGCTTCCTAGGTGGCTTGAGCTTCCTAGGTGGCTTGAGCTTCCTAGGTGGCTTGAGCTTCCTAGGTGGCTTGAGCTTCCTGGGTGGCTTGAGCTTCCTAGGTGGCTTGAGCTTCCTGGGTGGCTGGGCTCCTGGGTGGCTTGGGCTTCCTGGGTGGCTGGCTTCCTAGGTGGGGCTTCCTGGGTGGCGAGCTTCCTGGGTGGCTTGAGCTCCTAGGTGGCTGAGCTTCGGTGGCTGGCTTCCTGGTGGCTGAGCTTCCTAGGTGGCTTGAGCTTCCTAGGTGGCTTGAGCTTCCTAGGTGGCTTGAGCTTCCTAGGTGGCTTGAGCTTCCTAGGTGGCTTGAGCTTCCTAGGTGGCTTGAGCTTCCTAGGTGGCTTGAGCTTCCTAGGTGGCTTGAGCTTCCTAGGTGGCTTGAGAAATCCTAGTTTTGTTTTTTTTTAATTCTCAGCTGTACAGTTTACGGTAGAGCTTATTCAGCAATTCAGTGAAATTGAGTCATTGACTTTAGTCATTCTCATTGTGGTTATTCTCAAAACTATCACATTGACTTTTTCACAAAACTTTCACATCCGGGGGTGTTGTAGACACGTTGATTACTCAACTAGTAAACGAATAGGAACAAATCGAAAAGAAAGAGTGCAAGAGGGAAAGGCTATGCTCCCCCTCCATTTCTCCTCTATCCTATGTCCCTTTCAAATAAGAGAACTCAACGAAAGAATGGGAAATCGACACGAAAAAGACCAACACACTGAAGAAGAGAAAAAAAGAAGGAAAATCGATGTAGAGAAAGGGGAGGTGAGGGTGAGTCTCTTCTGTTCTGTTCTCCTCTGTTCTCCTCCGTTCTCCTCTCTTCTCCTCTCCTCTCTTCCCTTTCTCCCCTCCCCTTCAATTCAAAATCATCTCCATTCATCGCCAAACATGGTACTCCAATACTTTTGCAAAAGTCGCTTTTCCTATTGATCTCTTTTTTCAATTTCCCCCATTGCTTGCTTCAAAACTCGTTTTTCCTCGAATCCCACTCTGTCCCTTTATCAATACTATTTAAAAAACAATAGATATTTCAATCTATTTTCAAAATATCAGCTTTCATTTCAGTAAGAGATCTTATGACTTTCAAAAAAGCAAGATATCATTGTTGTTTTTCTCATATTTCATCTCCACTTTTTAAAAAAAAAAAATGTTTAACAACGTTGCTATGACTCCGTATCACAAGCTTTAGAAAAAGAGGTCGAAATTTCCCTTTCTATTTCCTTTGAAATTTCTCTTTCTATTTCCTTTGAATTCTATCTTTCTTCAAACAAAATGCAAATCAAGACTGAGATCAAAATGCAAATCAAGACATAGGAAAAAGCAAAGGAATTGATCTTTCTTAGGGAAGGGTCTGTGGTCGACCCCGTCCGATCTGCCAAGTTGAGCAACGTCGGCTCCCCTCCGAGCGCCCCAGCCCGGCCATCGGAGTATCATCGGCTACGACAACTACACTTCTGCCTCAGTAAATGTGGAAGCGGGTTGTGATCTGCGCTAAGTGTGAAGACAGATCAAATCATTATTTATTTTATTTTATTTATTGATCTTTCTTTCGTTTATTATTGTTCAAAAAACAAGGAACAAAAAAGGGAAAGGAATGGGTAAAAATGAGCGAAAAAAAAAATCGTTTCCGGGAGTTAAGAGGCCGAGTTTATCGGGTGTTTTTTGGGCGCCGATTCAATTTGACCTCTTCCCTCTTCCCTCTTCCCTCTTCCCATTCTCCATTTCATTTAATTTCATCCAGAGTAAACCTGAAAACCTTTCCACCACAGAAAATCTCGATTTTTTTTTTATTTGAAATCGTCTCTTTCATATCGATTGCAACACTTTTCATATCTATGAAATCATTGAAAATACAGTTAACCGAATTTTTCACTGTTTTTAAAACAAATCTTTGTCATTTCATTGCTAAAAGCATTGTTGCTATTATGTTTTAATTTAGTCTAAGCCGATTCAATTTCACCTCTTCCCTCCATCCTCTCACTCTTCTCATTCTCCATTTCTAACTTTCTAACTTCCCAACTTCTCAACTTCCCAACTTCCCATTCTCCATTTCAAACTTTCTAACTTTCTAACTTTCTAACTTCCCATTCTCCCTTTCTAACTTTCTAACTTCCCAACTTCCCATTCTCCACTTCTAACTTTCTAGCTTTCTAACTTCCCAACTTCCCAACTTCCCATTCCCCATTTCAAACTTTCAAACTTCCCATTCTCCATTTCTAACTTTCTAACTTCCCAACTTCCCAACTTCCCATTCTCCACTTCTAACTTTCTATTTTTTTACTTTTACAACTAGTAATTGGTATTGAGGGTCTTATGTGTGAAGGATCATGTTACTTTTTTTTCCACCTGACACCGGCAAGAACGTCGGGGTTCACACTGGCCAAGAAAAAGAAGAAAGAGCTCTTTCACAGCCTCTCCCCCATCCAGCTTTTTCTCTCTAATGCCCCATTTTCACCTTTGTTGTATCCAAGCTCTGAATGCTCTCTTTTTTGAAGTCATCACTATAATTACTCATTCTTTTTCAGCTTTAATCTCTAAAAATCATCTCTTGTTCTTTATTTTGAGTATCAGATCACGAGAAAGATCACAACAACATCTCGTTTTGATTTGTTTTGAACGAAATTTTTCTCTTTTTCAATCAAAACTCATCAGAGATCAGCTGATCGATCGATCTTTTCGTCAATTTTTGATTTCCTAATTTAAAACAAGTTTTCTTGTGCTCAATTTTGTAACCAGGCTTGAATTTAGATAAGAAAAATGTCTTCAATGATTGCAGTAAAGCGACCACCACCAGGTTTTAAAAGAATTTCATTTTTAAGAACTTCAAAATTTAGAGCGCTTCATACATCAAAATGAGCCATCAAGCTCGTCAACGAAATCTCCGCCGCCGATCGCAATCAATCGAAATATGATCTCAACTTCGACAAAAACTTCGCCTGTCGAGGTAACCTTTTGTTAATTTCAGTTTTTATATGTAAAATGCAACTTTGAATAATCTTTTTTTTAGCTATTCACCCAAGCCGATTTAGAGAATCGTCTTCAAGGTGCTTTACGGGTGAGTCGTGCACAATTGTTATATTAGAATTGATCATATTGATCACAATATTAGAATTGATCATATTGAATTGAATTGATCTCTATTGATAACGCTTTTCAATGTAGGAGAGAGATGATCAATGGCTGAGACACGAGAAGGCGCAGATTCATTTCCTGCAATCGGAGGGCGCACACATGTTGAAGGGACTGCATGACGAGGTCGATCGGCTCTCTCATCTACTTAGAGGTTTCATAATGTATAATATAAGAATAAATAAGATGTGCATTTCGAAATGTAACAGTTCTCTATAAAACAGAGAACATATTGGCACATATTGGCGTACCATAGTAAGCTAGGATTGGTGCTAGGGCCCGGTTTCACCAAAAAAAAACACCAGCATTTAGCATTTAGCATTTAGCTCAATTTTTAGCTTCATGACTTATCATTTTACCCTATTACGTTGTTAAAAAGAGTTTTTTCTAAGTATTTTCAATCAAAATATGTTTAGAGTTTAATAAAAAAGTCTATAAAGAGCAAAAAAAACGATTTAGCTAAATTTTGCAACTTTTGCAAGATATTCCATTAGTTTTTTAGCAAAATTTGACTGAATTTTGTTAGATTTTGTTTAATTTGATTGAAATTTTGTTAGATTTCCCTTCATTTAACTGAGTTTTGTTAGATTTCGCTTAATTTAACTGAGTTTTGTTAGATTTCGCTTAGTTTAACTGAATTTTGTTAGATTTCGCTTAATTTAACTGAATTTTGTTAGATTTCGCTTAACTTAACTGAGTTTTGCTAGATTTCGCTTAGTTTAACTGAATTTTGTTAGATTTCGCTTAATTTAACTGAGTTTTGTTAGATTTCGCTTAACTTAACTGAGTTTTGCTAGATTTCGCTTAGTTTAACTGAATTTTGTTAGATTTCGCTTAATTTAACTGAGTTTTGTTAGATTTCCCTTCATTTAACTCAATTTTGCTAGATTTTGCTTAATTTAACAAAAAGATAATGTTAATGTTAACATAAACATAATTTTTGCTTAATTATAGCATTTCGACGATTCCTCCAAAACCGAACCCGAACTTTAAACAATCGAATAAGATTTGAGCTCCTAATTAAGTCGTAAAAAGTACTTGCAAAGCCAACAACACTATAGAGTTTCCCTAGAGCCAACGATTTACTCATAAAAATTGTAACTAGGTTTGCATTTAGACGATTGCTCTAAACTATAGCTTAAACTTATTTCCAAAAAAAAACAATCCCCTTAAACCGGATTTTGAAATTTTACCCTTTAAGAAGGGGGGTAAAATGAAGCAGAAAGAAAAGCTTCTCCCCCTTTTTTCTTTTTTCTTCGCGTGTTCGATTCCCATTTGACCGCTCGAATCTATCTTCTTTCAAGCGAAACTTGACCCCTTGTCTCCCGTTAAAAAAGTAAAAATTTCGGAATTTTATTCTACTATTTCTTTTTTTTTGTCTCGAAAGAACTTCTGCACTTTCTAGACTTTTGCTCAAAAATTTCCTTTTTCTTCCTTTGCCTAGGACGTCTCTTATTCAAAAGGCGTCCCCCATTTTCTCACAATCGAAATTCTCGAGTCTTTTCGTGGCTTTACTTTTTTCGAAAAAAAAGACTAAACTCACTTTTTTATATGATGCTTAAGACTTATTATTAGCCAATGTGATAAAAGATTGTTTGAATGAAAAAGAGACACCTGTCTCCTCTCATTTTCCTTGAGTCCCCCTTTTCACAAGAGCTTTCCCTCAAAAATCCACAAAAAGCTATTCTCTTTCGTTTTTTTTCTTTTGTTGTAATGAATTGCGTGCCTTTCAAAGAATTATGCTCTTGTTGTAAGTTTTTTTTAAATTGATTTTAGTTTGATAGTTTTGAAGTAAATGAATCTCTATGAAAAAATGATAACTCGGCAATGAGTTTAGGTGAGAAAATGGGGAATTATACAAGAATTAAGTAAAACTAAAGAAATTCTCAAATGCAAAACTTTTTCATAAGTTGCTAGAATGCTAAAAGATGGTCGAGTTCGTGTTAAAATAATGAAAAGTTTTTGAGTCCAGAATATAGAACTCCTATATAGAATCATCCGGATCTGATTTTAAATGAAAAATTACAAGATTAAGAATACTAAAATCAAGATTAAGAATACTAAAATCAAGATTAAGAATACTAAAATCTAGTTATATTTTATCTTTAATCATATCAAAAGGCTTTAGATGCAAAGCGACGCTTGGATGTGGAAGATGATGAGGCTGAGGAAAGCGAAAAACTCAGGAATCTCATACAGGTGCGGAAATTAAGAAATATGAAAAGCAACAAGTTTAGGAAAAGATATTTATAATTTATAATAATCAAAATCAAAATTTAATAATCAAAAATATTCCCCAAAGTTTAGAAAAAAGAGGACCAGATCGCTGTGTTGGAAGCACAACTTTTGGCTAAAGAGTGCTCGCTGAAAGACATCGAGCGAAAAGTGAATGCGACAGTTGAAAAAATGAATGACACGATAAAAATACAAGTGAGTAAAATTGGAATTGGTACCATGGAACTGCTGCAAACTTGGCATCGATTTGAGATCTGGGATTTAGCGCAGAAAAGCCACCTTGAAATTCTAAGGGATAAGTTTTGTAATCGTCCAGAAGATGAGCCTTGCTTTCGTTGTTTCCATTCAACTCCCCAAACCATCCTATAGTTAGCTGCGGCCTTCATTGTGGTCCGGAAAAGTTCCGAATTCTCCACTCGGCTCCCAAATGGAAATACAGGGTGACCAGAAATAACGTTGCGGCCTAATTTAGCCTATTTGTCTCCCAAAGTTGAAACTTTGAGGATTTTAGGCTGCCGAAAATCCCGCAACGTTATTTCTGGTCACCCTGTAGATTGCTTTCTCATTTAAACAAAAAATTTATCGCGTAAAACAATATTTTCAATTAATTTGAGAAAAACAAAAAGATTAGAAAACGAAAAAGAAACAAAGGAAAAACAAATGATTTGAAAACGAGAAAGAAACGACGACGCGGCACTCCCATCGACTACCTCCAAATGGCGGTGACGTCAATTGAAATGCGACGTCGCGCGAAAATTAACATTTTAAATTTGCGACAGAATTTCAAAACGTCTCGAAAAACATTTTTTTGCTTTTGAAGTTTGAAAAAACGGTGCCGCGGTGGTATAAGGCCGAATTAGTTTCATCTCTGAGGTGACGGGATGGTGTAGCGGATAGTGTGGGAGTCCCTTGACCCTTCTTCGTCTCTATTTCGAATCCCCCATCATCTTTTTGTTTTTTGTTTTTTTTTTTTGTTAAAGCACTAAAACCAATTTAAAACTAAAAATAAGTGTTTTAAAGTGTCTATAAACAGTAAAATATCCCAAATTGATGCTAATTTTAAGCAGTTGGAAGAATGAAAGAGAAAAGAGATAAGAGTGAAATTTTAGAGCGATCGAATTCGACAGCTTTCCGGCGAGTTGCAAGATCGGACGCTCACCGTCACCCAGTTGAGCAGTCAGGTAGCTCTTTATCTTTATACAAAAAGCTTTACTTTATTAAAATTTAATAAAATATCTTTATATTTATATAATACTATGCGAGATTTATGTCCACTAACATTATGATTTTGTTAAATTAAGCGAAATCTAGCAAAACTCAGTCAAATATCTATATTTTTATAATACTATTCGAGATTTATGTCCACTTTTTTTCACTTTAGCTTCGTCAGTATCGTTTACGAGAAGCAATGGCCACGGCTCAGCACCGGCGACGGGCAAGCGCTCAAAATGTTTCAGTTTGTATAAAAATCGTTTAGAAATCAAAAAGATTAGATATTTTGGGGTAGGCTAGTTTCCGCAACTTTTTTTGCGCGACAGGGTCATTTGCGCAACTGGGTCATTTGCGCAACTGGGTCATTTGCGCAACTGGGTCATTTGCGCAACTGGGTCATTTGCGCAACTGGGTCCTTTGCGCAACTGGGTCGTTTGCGCAACTGGGTCGTTTGCGCAACTGGGTCGTTTGCGCAACTCGGCATAACTTTCTTCTAAGTGGGCTAATCTTTATGATTTTGGTCTCATTTTGTAGATCTCAATAAGTGCAACAAAATGAAACCAAAATCGTAAAGATTGACCGACTTAGAAGAAAGTTATGGCGAGTTGTGCAAACAACCCATTTGCGCAAATGACCCTGTTGCCCAAAAAAATTGCGGAAACTAGCCTACCCCGATATTTTATATCAATATTATTCGATATTATTCGATATTATTAGATATTATTCGATATTCTATCTAAATTTTTGATATAAAATAGAAAAAGAAACTTTCTAGGGCGGCAGCTCTCCACTCGTCTCCCCGAGTAGTCCACACAGGATCTTTCCGCCTCAAAGATCAATGGTAATTTTAAAAAAAAAACTCTTTTTTCACTTCAAATTCTTCTCCAGCAAATGTGCTTTGTAGACGATGACGTAAGTTTTTTTTCTTTTATTTCTTCTCTTCACTTCTTTTCATTTTCTCTTTCGAGTGCTGTTTTTTTTTTGCTATTAGCTTATTCTATAGTTTATTTTAAGCATGAGAAAGTTTCTGATCATTTTAATGATACAGTTTTCTAGGTTTTAATTATTCGTATGTAGTTGTGTTTTAAAAAAACAAAAAGGAGTGCTCAGTTGAGCTTTCAGCTAGCATCCGCCTCAGTGTCGGTGACCTATCCAGGCAATCCGGCGAAGATGAGACCCGCCGTTTTGGAGTGAGTTTTTTTTTGTTTTTGAGTTTTTGAAAGCACATGGTAGCTATTCCATGATCTATCCACGATTTCGATAGTTTAAGTTCGTTTATACATAGAGTACGAGAGTTTTTCTATGATTTAACCACAATTACAATAGTTTAGGTTCGTTTATAGGGTGGCTAAGTGTTTTTTTTTTTTGTATGAAATCTGAAATGCAAATGTATATGATTCTTAAATGGATTTTCTACATGCTATGACAATTCTAGGTGAACAGTTCTAAGATCTCTAAAGTTCTATGATCTAAAGTTCCATGATCTAAAGTTCTATGATCTAAAGTTCTATGATCTAAAGATCTAAAGATCTAAAGTTCTATGATCTAAAGTTCTATGATCTAAAGTTCTATGATCTAAAGATCTAAAGATCTAAAGTTCTAAAGTTCTAAAGTTCTAAGTGTTCTAGCAGTTCTAAATCTAAGAAGAGTTTAAACCTGAAAAAGCGACAATGAAAAGAAATTCCAGTCCATCACTGGGTGAGATTGTGCCGGGGATCGAGAAGCAGAAATTCCCGCTCAGACGCAAATCGGCCTCGTCGAGTGCCGGAAACGTGTACAAAAATTAGTCTAGTGCAGTCCATGAAAACCGTAACACTTGGCAATTTCTTTATAAGCTTTATAATTATATATTTAATAACAAACGGTATTACGGCTTTGAATAGTGCTTTGAAAAGCGCTGATTTTTTTCAACTCGTTGTCCTTCCGTTTGGCTAAACATTACCACTTTCTATTTGTTATCAATCCTACCGTAATCCCCCCAAAACAGAGCTTGTGCCTTTCATTCTCTTGTGTGATTTCTATAAAATGAAAGCTTTATGAAAATTTTCTTTATGTTTTTTATGCATAACTTTTTTCTAAAAGAAATCAATTCATGTTTTAGAATAAACTCAATTACAGCTAGCTTTAATCAATGTGTTTAGAAGAAAAATTGAATTCATTTACAATAAAAAAACAATTTAGAACAATTTAAAGCAAATTTGAATCAATTTAAACCAATTTAGAACAATTTAAAGCAAATTTGAATCAATTTAAAACAATTTAGAACAATTTAAAGCAAATTTGAATCAATTTAAACCAATTTAGAACAATTTAAAGCAAATTTGAATCAATTTAAAACAATGACAATTTAAAGCAATTTGAATTTAACCAATTTAGACAATTTAAGCAAATTTGAAATTTAAACCTTTGACATTTAAAGAATTTGACATTTAAAACAATTTAGAACAATTTAAAGCAAATTTGAATCAATTTATAAATAAATAAATAAATTCTTTTCGATTTCAAACAAAAATCGGTGTCTTTTTCATGAAAAAATAGCAAAAAAAATGAAAAAAATCTTCATTTTCAATGACAAAAAAAAACTTCTTGATGTGACCAATGTGTTTATTGTTTTAATACCTTGTAAATATGTAAATAAAGAAATTAAAAATCACCCATTCACTCAGAAAAAAAAGCAAAAACAAGTTAGAAAATCAAGAGAAAAAATGGAAAAAGTACAGTGAGATCATCAAGTCGAAAGGTACAATAAAAACGAAATTTCAATAAAGAAGGGAAAGCTATTATGCACTGACGAAAGAGACAGAAGAGTACGGTAGTTTTAATCAAACAAAAATCTTTACTCACTGTCCTCTTCGCGTATTTTCTTGCGCTGCTCGGTTGACTCTTTGATTGAAGAGAAAGGACCCGTTTGTGAGGCTAAAATTTTAAATATCTAAATTTTTAAATATTTTTTTTGAAAAAGAAACTTTAGAAACCTTTTAAAATAGATTAATATTATATTCTAAACAATTTAAAGTTCAATTTCATTATCGAAAAACTAAACAAGCTGATACCGTATTTTCTCTAATAGTAGTGCACCCAAGCGAGCCGAGTTCATGACTATTTTATGGTTTCCAAGCTTTTGCAAAAGCTCAACCCTCAAATCCCCCACTAGATCTCATCGTCAGCTACATTTTCCGACCACATATCGATAGGTTCTGATAAGCGGTTTTCAAGATTTCGAGCAATTTAGGGGACGCTCATGGTGCGCTACTATTAGAGAAAATACGGTACCCAGCAAGAAAAGGATTTCAGCCAACCAGTGAAAAAAGAGAGCTATTGGCACAGTGGATAGTGCGTTCGCGATTCCATAAAGCCTCGTGGCCACCTTGACTTGATGCTTTTCTCTAGTCACTACTCAGTACAGTATACCGTATTTTCTCTAATAGCAGTGCACCCAAGCGAGCCGAGTTGGTGACTATTTTATGGTTTCCAAGCTTTTGCAGAAGCTCAACCCTCAAATCCCCCACTAGATCTCATCGTCAGCTACATTTTCCGACCACACATCGATAGGTTCTGGTTCATGGATCAAAGGAGTTCCGAAAACAGTATCGACTTATTGAAGAAATGGGTAAGCTGATGAAAACGGCTACAGAATGAAAAAAAAAGCTATCGCATTTTATGGTAGAATAGGCTAATAGTAGAACCGAGTTGATGACTATTTTATGACTTTCAAAGTTTTCACAGAAGCTCACTTACAAGATATATCAAATAATTTGAATCTTTTAATTTCAAATATTTATTGTAAAGACAGTCATGGACAGTCATGGCTTTTAATGCTGGTTCTCAGAAGTTTGTTTTTCGCATACCGTATTTTCTCTAATAGTAGTGCACCCAAGCGAGCCGAGTTGATGACTATTTTACGGTTTTCAGGCTTTTACAGAAGCTCAACACTCAAATCCCTGACAAGTTCTCATCGTCAGCTACATTTTCCGACCCCACATCGATAGGTTCTGATAAGCGGTTCTCGAGATTTCGAGGAATTTAGGCGACGCTCAGTGAGCACTACTATTAGAGAAAATGTATACTGACGGTATACTGACAAATCGCGACTTATCGCACGGCTTTTATAACCTATTGCCGGCCTTTTCTCGAGTATGCCACCATCGTATGGCCACCTTCCATTAAGAAACTTATCACCCTGGTTTAAAATGTTCAACGGCGTTTCACTATAAAAAAAAAGCATACACTCATTGTTTCCCTTCTTCTCTTATTCCAAATTATGAGACTAAACTTAAAGTTTTTGATTTAGTTTTTGATTTAGTTTTTGATTTAGTTTTTGATTTAGTTTTTGATTTAGTTTTTGATTTAGTTTTTGATTTAGTTTTTGATTTAAAAACCCCTTTTATATCGCCGATTTTTATATTTTATCGCCAAAATCATAAAGACTGGCCGACTTAGAACTTAAAGGACTCTTTAAGATTTCGAATCACGCCAGAAGAACTCGTAGTCACAACTTTCAGATTACCCCCTTTCAAAGCTTTCATAACCGCCAACTGTATCATTCTTTTGCTTGTCGTGTTCCTCGTATTTGGAATAAGTTACCTTGTGATATTTTTTCGTCTCTGAACTATTTTAAATCCTCAATATATAAGCTCGATCTTGTAGCTCTGTCAATTTTAAATTAGTTTTTAATGTCATATATACACGTGTCTAATTGTAGTTGTGTTTGTGTATCAATTATCTTTCTTCGTCTACGCTGTTCAATCTGTTTGCATTGTCACTTTTCCTTGTCGGATAAAGTATATATATTAGAAGAAAGTTATGGCGAGTAGCGCAAAAAAATTTGCTGTACGTTGCTGTACGTTGATGTACGTTGCTGTAATTAGCCTACCCCATTTATTTTTGAAGAATATTTCATTCATGATAGGCTCATTTTTTTAAAACTAACGTCTTTTTTCCATCTCTCCTTGTGTCCGTTGGCGTACCATTTTTTTTCCTTTTGGTCCGTTGATGTTTGGTGATCGTTTAAGCATCGAATCATGCGAGATATCAACTTCATTTTTTTGTTTTTTAAGAATTTTTAATTAAATCTTTTTCAAACCTAAGTTGCAAAGGATATTTGCTGTCTCGTAAAGGCCCATACCCTAAATTTTAAATAAAGGATTCAAGAAAGAAGCTTTTTTTTTACCACTTTTTCCTCCGAATTACTCCGGTAGACCTCTTCGCCAGCGATTTCCGCTTTTTTCTGAATCTATTAGTTAAAAAAAATCGTTTACTTTAATTAAAATTTTGAAACTTTAAACGAATCTTGAAACTAGTGTACAATTCTATTTCACTGAGTACAAACTATTGAAACTATTTCACTAGAGTATCCTGGATTGAAGTAGGAAAGCTGAATATCTTTCAAATTATGTAAATTTTCAATATACTGTACGTTTTTTTTTGATATTCAAATGATTTACTTAATTATTTACGACTGACAAGGGAAGGTCAATGGAAAAAATGGAAAAAAAGATGTTAGTTGGCCGGCTGAGTTGGCCAATTGCGATGTCACTTATACCATTCGACCCAGAATTTTATGCTGATTCCGAATATCTATTACGTAGTTGTTAAATGACAATCTGCTGGGAGTTATAAGCGTCTAAGGTTTTGTTAGGACGCTGAAAATGTGGTCATTTGGATCTTAGAGGCCTCTCCTTGTGCTGACTAGGGTTTCGTGCAGCCGTGGCCGAGTGGTAGAGCGTTCGTTTCCGGAGCAAGTTCTCACAAGTTCAATCCGCACTTTCGATTTTTCTTTTGCTTACGAGTACATTGATTTTCCTGCAGTCAACTTCTCCACTCCCAGTGAAATCTGTTTCAAAGTTTTGGATTCTGATTGTGAAAGTATGACTTGCATACTTTATATCATACCGAGCTGAAAAATTAAGATTTACGTGGTGGGACAAATCCGACCTTTTTTTGCGCACCTGGACATTTGCGCACCTTTTTTTTGCTGGAAAAGGTCGTAGAGCTTCAAAAATGTTTTCATAGAAGGGAATCGTATGCGTAGATTCCGAATTTCGACAAATCAGACCTCGCTGACACGTCAAATTTGGACTTAAAGGGAAAAACTGCGGAAAAGCGTTAAGTTGCCTAATTTTTGCCTTTTAGCCTTTTAGATTCTGAATTCTGATTTTTTGATTCTGATTGTGAAAGTATGACTTGCATGTCTTGTGGTGTGATATAAAGATGTTTTCTTTCATTTTATCAATGATTGGCATCAATGTTAGTTACTACATTTTGTTTTTCTCTTGATTTGAGTATTATTGTTGTAAGAGTTTAAAATAAACTTTATAAAAGTGTGATAACAAGAAATATGTTGTCACAAAGAACACTTCTTGAAAAAGCAAAAGAAAGGTGCGAATCGAACCTTTGAGGTCCTCCTCTGGAAACGACCGCTCTACCAATCGGCCATGGCTGGACTAAAGGGTTCCACAAGGAGGCCTCTAAGATCTTCAGATCCTAAGATCCTCCAAGACCTTCAGATCCTAAGATCCTCTAAGATCTTCATAGCCTAAGATCCTCCAAGACCTTCAGATCCTAAGATCCTCTAAGATCTTCATAGCCTAAGATCCTCCAAGACCTTCAGATCCTAAGATCCTCTAAGATCTTCATAGCCTAAGATCCTCCAAGACCTTCAGATCCTAAGATCCTCTAAGATCTTCAGATCCTAAGATCCTCCAAGACCTTCAGATCCTAAGATCCTCTAAGATCCTCTAAGATCTCATTTTCAGAGTCCTAATAAAACGCTTATAACTCCCAGCAGATTTTCATTTAGCAAAAACGGAATACATATTGGGAATCAGCATAGATCATCTGCGTTAAAATTCTGCGTTGAATGGTATAAGTGACATCGCATTTGGCCAGCTCAGCCGGTTGACCTTCCCTTATTAGTATTACTTACAACTTGTTAGCTTTTATTATTCTTTTCAAGACTCACTCCTAGATGAAGATTTAAACTCTGCGTTGACGACGTTTGATTCACTTTTTGGAAGCTCTCAAACTTTTTCTAAAAAGAAAACTTTTTTGAATGTTGAATTTTTGAATTTAAATATTGAATTTTTGAATTTAAATATTGAATTTGAATGTTGAATTTGAATATTTTTGTTACTAATAAGTTTGCAATAACTCTGTATATTTGTATAAATATTTTTACATTAACAGGCTGTGTTGACAGTGTTGACAGTGGCGGTGAGGGTTCTTTCGGCATTTCTTGCGACTCAACAGCTGAATATTCTGAAAAGCAAAGGAAAGGAATTCTATTAAAGCTTAATTTTTTTTGAAAGATATTACATCTTTCAAAAAATTAAGCTTTAATAGAATCTTTTCTTTTTCGTGCAAAAAAAAACGCCGACAATTTTCTCTGTTCAACCAAATGAAAGCGAATGAAAAAGAAAAGGCCAATTTTTGTAGTCATTTCTCCGATAAAACAATCCGATAAAAATGCTCAGAGAATGCTATTTTGTTTTTTTTTTGATTAAAAAATGACTTTTCATTCACCCACACAATCTAGAATTTAAAATGTAATAATGAAATAAAATTACTAAAGGTAACTAGAGAGAAATGAGACTAAAAACCTTAATTTAATACTAGTTATCTAAAAAAAATACCGACTGGGCATACCAGTGGTGAATTTATCGCATACACGAAATATATCAATCACAATACAACGACACACACAATACTAGGCTATATCTTAACTTAACCCACGTCATGACAGACGGCTCCCTAACCCTAAGCTCAATGGGGAACTAAATAGCTTTTTTGGTGGTGAAGGGAAGATGACGATGAAGGAGTGGCTTGTCACTTTAAAGAACTGGGGCCACAACCACCAGACTGCCCTCCAGAAAACCTCTCAACCCGAAGGGAAAGGAAATCCGAAGGGGGTGACCATGTCGCATGTGGGGTTCGAACCCTCGACCTTCCGATTAAGATAAAAGACACTTAACCAGTCAGCACCCACAAATAAAATTACTAAAGGTAACTAGAGAGAAATGCGACTAAAACATTAATTTAATACTAGTTATCTTCTACTAAATTACTAGGTAGCTAGAGAGAAATGCAACTAAAACTTAATTTAATACTAGTTATCTATTACTAAATTACTAGGTAACTAGAGAGAAATGCGATTAAAAACCTTAATTTAATACTAGTTACCTAATTTTCTCTGTTCAACCAAATGAAAGCAAATGCAAAAAGAAAAGGCCAATTTTTGTAGTCATTTCTCCGATAAAACAATCCGATAAAAATGCGCAGACGGGGGGAGATTTCTTATTTTGTTTTTTTTAATTAGAAAATGACTTTTCATTCACCCACACAACAGTTTAAAACTCACTTTTTGTGCCTTTTTCTTCGAGATTCTAAAAAAAAAGATGATTTTTTGAGTGAAAATATGAGATTTTCAAATTGAAATACACGAGATTTAGTGAAAGATTTGCAATAAAGAATATTATTGAAATAACAAGTATTATATCTATCTATATATATTCAGAAGATCTATGACTAAGCCACAAATTTAATGAGTAAAAATGTATCGCAAAGAGTTTCCTTTAGAGATTTCAGCTGTTTATAATTGATTTGAAGAATCTGAATAAGCTATCTAGACAATAAATTGATTTAAATATCTAGAATTTAAAATATAATAATGAAATCAAATTAATCTGCCAAGTTGAGCAACGTCGGCGCGGGTTAGTCGTGGGTTCGACTCCCATGGGTTCCCCTCCGAGCGCCCCAGCCCGGCCATCGGAGTATCATCGGCTACGACAACTACACTTCTGCCTCAGTAAATGTGGAAGCGGGTTGTGATCTGCGCTAAGTGCGAAGACAGATCAAATCATTATTTTATTTTTTTTTTAAAATCAAATTACTAAAGGTAACTAGAGAGAAATGTGACTAAAACTTAATTTAATACTAGTTACCTAGTACTAAATTACTAGGTAACTAGAGGGAAATGAGACTAAAACTTACTTTAATACTAGTTACTTAGTACTAAATTACTACCGTAAATACTGTAATAGTACCCCACCCCCATAATGACGGTGCGGGGTGTTGCGTAGTCTAGCTTTGAACGAGTTTTTCTCGACACTGGTTTATGCTACAATGCGCGCTTAGGTATCAAAAAAATAGCTGAAATTCAGGGCTATTTTTTGATACCAAAGACGCAATTTTTGAAAGTACGGGCGCTTTGAAAAAGATGAAATACTAAAAAACTTTTGCGACTACGCGACTGTACGAGGGGGGTCGGGTACTATTACAGTATTTACGGTAGGTAACTAGAGGGAAATGCGAAATGAAATGCGAAGCGAAATTTGACATCAAAAGTCATTGTCTCGTTCGAGATGCAGTACAAAATTCTCATCAAAGAATTCATCGATTTGTATTTGTTTTCGTTTAGATCCCTTGAAAAGCAATGGGAAAACATTTGAACTCACAAAAGTTTTCATTTTCTCGTCCAATTTCCCATCTAACGAGTCAAAGTTGAGACTCGGCATCTTGTGAGGGCCACGCTGGAATTGCACGTAAAATAACGTTTTATTATAGTAGTTTTTGGATTTGATATTTGATATTTGATATTGAATTAAGCCTTAATCTCAATCTAGTTTTCGTTCAATCAAGTCAAAGTTTTGAAAGTCATCACTCAGCTTACAATTAGTCAAAAATCGATTGAAAAAATTTGAGCCTGATGGTCAGAGGTTACTGATGAATCACTAAGCTGATGAATTTGATGAATTTGATGAATCTATGAATCTGATGAATCTGATGAACTGATGAATCTGATGAACTAATGAATCTGATGAACTAATGAATCTGATGAACTAATGAATCTGATGAACTGATGAATCTGATGAACTGATGAATATGATGAACTGATGAATATGATGAACTGATGAATATGATGAACTGATGAATATGATGAACTGATGAATATGATGAATCTCATGAATCTCATGAATGAATCACATAAAAAGATTGGCTGAACAATATGTGACAAAAAAAGATTTGAAAATTTAGAAAAGCTCACCGTTACAATCACGGTCAATTAGGTCAATCAGGTCAATCAGGTCAATCAGGTCAATCAGGTCAATCAGGCCAATCAGGTCAATCAGGCCAATCAGGTCAATCAGGTCAATCAGGCCAATCAGGTCAATCAGGTCAATTAGGTCAATCATTTATCGAGGATTAAAAGATGAAAATCAGCAATCAATCAGCCGTCAGATTTGTCAAGTTAAGCAACGTCAGATCTTTTCTGATCTTTTCTTTTCGTCAGATCTCTTAGTGACTGGTTCGGAGACGGGCCGACGAATTGAGCTGCATTGAGCTGCTTTCTGGTCTTGGTTCGATGACTAGTAAAGGCGCTAGTTCTGTAAAGCGGATAGCCATCACCTTCTTTTCACCGCCTGAACTTTCTATTTAAGATATCTAAGGCCGTTCATTAAGAATTTCAAAAAGCTAACAGATATAAAGTTTCATTCAATTTCTAAATCATAGAAATTTTGAAAATTTTGTTAAAGAAGACTTTAAATTGAGGTAGAATAATGATTAAATTATAAATTGAGGTAGAGTAATGATTACATTATAAATTGAGATAGAATAATGATCACATTACAAATTGAGATAGAATAATGATTACATTACAAATTGAAGTAGAGTAATGATTACATTATAAATTGAGGTAGAGTAATGATTAAATTATAAATTGAGATAGAATAATGATCACATTACAAATTGAGGTAGAGTAATGATTACATTTTCAGACAAATCTCTGTTTTAATAAAAATTTGATTAAAAATTATAAACCTTAGCTTAATTATCATACAGTGAATCAGTTTTTTTTAATGTTTTTAATGTTTTATCTTCAAAAATAAACCTCTGTACTTCGAAGGATCGCTTTCTCTTCCTGAAACATCTTTTCGTATTAGCAGTAAAGGCGAAAAGTTGTCTTTTGAGAAAGAATTTCTGAGGAATGATGCGAATTGTCGGGTACAATTGAAATAATATCTTAAAAACAAGCTCTGTAGTTCTTGGCTGGTTTTTAGAGGTTCAATGGGGAAGTCAATCTTCTCAAAGAGGCGGGAAACTATCCAGCAAGAGTTTCTTTTTTTCTAATTTCAACCGCAAATTCCGAAAAGGAAAAGCTATGGGAACAAGTTAGAAAAGAAAAGAAAAGAAAAGAAGAGAAAAGAAAGGATTTTGAGATAAAAAAGAAAGAAAGCAATTTCTCGCCGATAAATAACAGAAAGGATCGCTTCAGAATAACAGAAAGGTGTTTCACCTGTTTTGCTTTCCCGTCAAAATGTTTCAAATCTGATTTAAAGAGTTTAGATGAAAGTTTTTAATTAGAATGGAATTAGAAAAATGGAAAATGAAAGAATCAAATGCACCAGATCAAGTGTGTTTTCAAAAAGTGTACCTTAACGAGCAAAGGTGGGCAAATGTGGGCAAATGTTTTAAGGATTTTTTTTTGGTTTTCTAGATATAATGATTCTAGATGTAATGATTTATAATAATTCTAGATTCTCAAGAAAATAAGAATATTGAATATATTAAAGGAAAATATTAAAGGAAATAAGTTTTTTTTGCTTTACAGGTAACCCGTTTTCTCTTTCGACAGATCGTTCGCACTGTGCTCGAACTGCAAGATCTAGGCGTTTTACATCGAGATCTAAAGGTTCTTTTCTTTCTTTCTCTCTTTCTTTCTTTCTTTCTTTCTTTCTTTCTTTCTTTCTTTCTTTCTTTTTTCTGTTTTTCTTGCTTCCTTACTTTCTTTCTTTCTTTCTTTCTCTCTTTCTTTCTCTCTTTCTTTCTTCCTTTCTTCCTTTCTTATTGAATTTATTTGAATGCACAAATAAATCCAATCCAATAATTTGTCCTTTTCATGAGAGAAATTTTCAGGATGAGAACTTGTTGATCAATTTGGAAACCGGTGAGCTGAAGCTAATCGATTTCGGAGCTGCTACCCCGCTCAATAAAAGCCAGTTTACCGAATTTCAAGGTGATTAAGCTTTTCTTTCTTTTCTTTCTTTCTTTCTTTCTTTCTTTCTTTCTTTCTTTGAGAACATTTTGCCTAAAACCATGAAATTTCTAAAATTTCTTCATTCACTGTGTTTTTCATTTAAATTAAGGAATTTATTCATATAAAACACAATCAAATATCTAAAACCCGAGAAAATTTTGGCAATTTAAATACGAGATAATTGAGTTTTTGGTTAAGAAAATGCAAAAAAAAAGCTAAAATAAAGTCTGCAAAAATATTGAAAATATTGTAAAGTCTTGAAAAGTATTGAAAACTGTTTTTAAAAAGAACAAAATAACGGAAATAACGGGGTGGGACAAATGCTACCTTTTTTTCGCTGGAAAAGACCGTAGAGCTTCAAAAATGTTTTTATGTAAGGGAATCGTATGCGTAGATTCTAAATTTCGACAAATCAGACCTCGCTGACACGTCAAATTTGGGCTAAAAGGTAAAAATTGCGGAAAAGCGTTAAGTTGCATAGTTTTTGCCTTTTAGCCAAAATTTGACGTGTCAGCGAGGTGTGATTTGTCGAAATTCGGAATCTACGCATACGATTCCCTTCTATGAAAACATTTTTGAAGCTCTACGACCTTTCCTAAGGCCTTTTCCAGCAAAAAAAAGGTGCGCAAATGTCCAGGTGCGCAAAAAAAAGGTCGCATTTGTCCCACCCCCGTAAAATGTAAATAAATTTAATTTTTTTTAAAATTACAAAAATGCTTTAAAATCTAATAAAATAAAAAGGAAAAATGGTTAAATTTTACTCGATTTTACTCGATTGCATAGTTGATACCCTCATGAATGGCTATGGAGAGCTTTGAGGCGAGTGAATGGCGCGTACGATAACATGGGAGATCGAGACGATTGAAACACGTGTGCGCTCGTGGCAATGATCCCTCTTCACCCCATCTTAAAGTTTTCATTTTGCATTTTCATTTTGCATTTTGCATTTGCATTTTGCATTTTGCATTTTGCATTTATATTCATTGATTTTGGATTTCGATTTCGATTTCGATTGAAACATTGCACAGTAGCGTATGTTTTTTTTTTAAAATACTTTTTAATCATTTTCTAGAAATTTTCTATAAGCTTAACTCTAGCAACCTCTAGAAAAGCTTGTTAGCATCACATTTCACTAAAAAAAATAGTGATTCACGCCTTTTTTTATTGTTTTCCTTTGAATTCACAACACGAAAGCCTTTTTTTTTCGGCTTTTCTAGATTATCAGATTTCTAGATCTGATAATCTAGAAAATTCGAACCTGCTACCTTTTAGAAGGCGCTCGTTTTAGAGGCAAACGCGTAACCCACTTAGAAAAGGGTTAGAAAAGGGTTTACTTGAGATGTACACACTCTAATCTAGCCTGCAGCTAGATCTGAGGTTTGCTATCGGTCTCGTAGCCATATTTAGCCTTAGATGAATCACGACTGATCTGAAGTTTCAACTTCGATGCTTGCACGATGCCCCGTACACCCCACTGGCTATGTGTGCTTTTCAGACAACTGTGTACGAAATGGCAAGGTGAAGCCGCTAGACGTTTTTGTTGGCAATTTTCTCACCCAGAAAGGGGCCACTAGCAGCAAGAGGCGGCTGCTTGCTAACACCTTTCGCCCAAGCCACCACCCAGTGGCAATTCGTTTATTGGCAACCCTCAGACAGAGCTTTCTCGAAGCTACGTAATGATGATCACTTATCAATCAAAAACGATCATTATTTTAATTCTAGTTTTTTTAAAATCTGTTAAGGATTGTAAGAACTTACTTATATAATATCTACTTTTAAAAGTTTTCCTCGCATTACCTCTCAATTGTGAACTTTTTAGGTCCACTTGAGCCTCGTAGTCCACGAAAGCCTTCAAAAGGAATCGATGACGTTCCCGTGACAAACTAAATATTTATAATTTATAATAAGTTCAAAAATAATCATTTATTTAAAGATAAACTTGTTTGCATGCAACTAGTCAAGTTGTATTCTTTTTTTCAACGCTCACTTGCAAGAGTTTGAGTCGATCCGCGTTGCTCATCGCCTCGACCGCATCCCAAAACCATTGCACAACAATATGCCCATCATAGTAACCGCTCTAAAACTTTTGAATATAGAAATTTCGCTTTTAAATGTATTTTACATGCTCTAAGATCAAATTGTAATCGAAATTTTTCTAAATTTCTACCCGATATTCTGTGTTTTGACGCCAATCATCTAAATCGATGTCGATTATACCGGAGAGTACCGTTTTCAGCTCGCCGGCTGTGAAAACTCGTAAAAATTCTCGATCGACTATCTGAAAATTGATTAGATAATCAATAATAAATTGATCAATCAAATAAAATTGATTTAATTAGATTAGATTAGATTAGATTTCGATTATGATAGAAATATGATAGAGATGAAAATTTCTCAAAAAAGCACCTGATGCAAACCGAAAAGAAGTGCCCGAATTTGTGCCTCGCATCCCCGTTCAACTCTCCATTTTGTCATCAAATTGATGAACTCTTCTTTATTCGAATCACTCACTTTCAGATCTCTTCCGTTTGGTAAAAGCTCTTTTTCAATTATCTATGAAAATTCAATTTTAACATTCAATTTTAACATTTTCAATTTTCAACAATTTTCAGAAGTGGGACAAATGCGACCTTTTTTTTGCGCACCCGGACATTTGCGCACCTTTTTTTCCGCACCTTTTTGCCCATTAGCGCACCTTTTTTCGCGTTTTAAAAAAGCTCTAAAAAGCTAATATTAAATATTAACCAATTTCTATTCCAAAAGTTGTTTTTCTAGGTAATTTGAGGGTCTCGAATTCAAATTTTGACATAACAGAGCATGTGGAACCAATTTGAAAGACAAAACGGCTAGATCAAATTAAAGAAAATTGTCGATTTTTCTCTTTGTATAACTCCGTCCGTTTGTTTCCACGCGCTTTGTTATGTCAAAATTTGAATTCGACACCCTCAAATTACCTAGAAAAACAACATTTGGAATAGAAATTGGTTAATATTAGCTTTTTAGAGCTTTTTAAAACGCGAAAAAAGGTGCGCTAATGGGCAAGGTGCGCAAATGTCCGGGTGCGCAAAAAAAGGTCGCATTTGTCCCACTCCCAATGTTCCTAATGTTTTTAAATTAACTCCCTGGAACTGGAAACAAACGGACGGAGTTATACAAAGAGAAAAATCGACAATTTTCTGTAATTTGATCTAGCCGTTCAAATTGGTTCAAATTGGTTCCACAAGCTCTGATATGTCAAAATTTCGATTCTACGCCCTAAAATCACCTAGAAAAACAACTTTTGGAATAGAAATTGGTTAATATTAGCTTTTAGAGCTTTTTAAAACGCGAAAAAAGGTGCGCTAATGGGCAAGGTGCGGAAAAAAAGGTGCGCAAATGTCCGGGTGCGCAAAAACAAAGGTCGCATTTGTCCCACTCTCCAATTTTCAACAATTTTCTTTTCAAATTTTACCTCTCCACCCACGTCATGCATCGCCAAAAAACTCAACTCGAGATCGTCATTCACCGAATTTTCTTTTAACCAACACAAATTTTGATGAAAATCTGCATCCAAACTTTCCAAATCATTCAATTCGATAGATCTAGATTTGATTCAAAATTTGAAAATGAATTATTTAACTGTTCAACAAACTGTTCAAGAAGTTGCTTGTAAAAAGTGTTCGTGAAGAATGTATCGATTAAACAGCGATGTACAAGAGCTAAGCCAAGCACTCTCCCAGCTAGCTCCATCCTGAGAATGAAAAGTGCTTTTCAAAAAATCAACAACAAAAAAAAAACCATTTCAAATGCTGATCGACAAATGTTGACATTGGATTGATTTGAACGGTGTACTCTCTTTCAGCTGAGTACTCGAAAAGGCCATAGTATGGGTTGAAAATCTCGCGTGACAACAAAAAGAAAAGCTCTCGTGATGGCCCACCGTAGTCTAATCTAAATCCAAGTTATCGTAATCTCAATCGCTAACTAAATGTTAACTAAATGTTTAGTTAACGATTTTTCTGTTCTAGATATTCTAAATATTCGAAATATTCGAAATATTCGAAATTTCTAAAATAAAACTCTAGTTTCTACCCGTCTTCATCATCAAATTGAATCGACAAACGGGCTCTTCGCAACAAATTCGGATCCGTATTCAAGATTTGATCAAAAGCATCATGTAAAAGATTTGTTCTTGAAAATCGGAGTCTAAAGTTTTTCAATGATTGTCTTTAACCCATTCGAAACTTCTGCAGCGAATAATCGCTGCAGCAAAAACTCAGGAACGAACCGCTGCAGCGATTATTCGCTGCAGCGCTAAATTGAGCTATTTTCATTCAATTATCAGGTTGGCAACTAAATAATGGCCCTTTCAGTAAAAACAAAAAATTTATTAACAAGATGAACAAATATCAACATCAATCCAAAAGGTATTCTCCGTCATTCTTTATTACTTCTTTCCACTTTTGACGGAGCAACTGGATACCTCTCTTGAAAACTTCTTCTGGTTGATCGTCAAAGAACTTCTGCACTGAAATTCGGACTTCGTCAAGGTCATTGAACTTTTTCTCGGCTAGAAAGTGTTGCATCGATCGAAAAAGATGGTAATCACTAGGCCCCATATCCGGGCTGTATGGCGCATGAGGAAGAACATTCCAGCCCAACTCCTCGATTTTCTCCATTGTAAGTTTTGCAGTGTGTGGTTTTGCGTTATCATGGAGAAAATGAATTGAAGAGGGTTCGAGTCCTTGAGAGCGAATTGCTTGATCTACACGATGTAGTTGAGACGAATAGAGTTCTGAATTAACCGTTTGCCGGCTTTTGAGAACCTCGAAATGCACCAACCCACGAGAACTCCACCACACACAGAGGAGAGTTTTCTTTTGAGTGAATATCCGGCTTCGGCGTTGGTTTTGGGTCTTCGTTTGTGCTAAGCCACTGTCGTTTTCGCGTTCGATTATCATAAAAGATCCATTTTTCATCAGAAGTGACAATGGAATCCAAGAAGCTTCCCTTTTCGCAAGTTTTAGTAGTATTCCAGCTGTGATAACACGAGTAGCCTTATTTTCTTCGCTCAATTCATGCGGAATCCACTTTCCACTGCGGTTACTTTTCCCCAATGCATGAAGTCGCTTTTCGATTGCATATGCGAAAGGCCCAATCGATCCCCTAGCTCGCGTGATGTTTGACTTGGATCCTCCTTTAAAGCTGCTTCCAAAATATCGTTCTGCAGAAGTTCGGGTCGTCCTTGGCGAGGCTCATCTTCAAGACTTTCATCCCCTTCCTTGAACCGTCGATACCATCTCTTACATTGTGTTTCGGAAAGAGCTTCATCACCAAAAACGCGCAATAAATCTCTGTGGGATTCGGCAGCTGTTTTGTCTTGTTTGTAGTCGTACCAGAGACAGACACGCATTCGATATTTGAGATCTTCCATTTCTAAACAAAATTATTTGAAAAGTATCAAATCAAGGAAAGTAAAAAACGTATAATAATGCACCAGAAATTCAGTAATATTCAATTAACAACAAGCGAGGGTAGATTAAACGCAAAGATTAAAAGATTTTATCAAAAAAGGGCGAGGGCCATTATTTAGTTGCCAACCTAATAATTGGTTTTTTTGCTGTTTTTCAGCGTTACATGTATATTCCAATTGTAACAGATCTACAGAATTTGTTTACTTGATCTTTTGTGGCCCACTTCCATAACCATTTCGTTGTAAAGAATTGTAGAAATGGGAAATCTTTTCTTCGAATTCTGTCGTATTGGCGTTTTCGTCTGAGTCAAGCATACTGAATTACAGTCATTTGTAATAGTAATTTGTAATTTGTAATTTGTAATTTGTAATTTGTAATTTGTAATTTGTAATTTGTAATTTGTTATTTGTAATTTGTAATTTGTTATTTGTTATTTGTAATTTGTTATTTGTAAATTATGATATTGAAAGCTTAGTCTTAAGAACCAAAACTTGCTCACCTAATCGCCAGTATCAGATCAGAGTAATTTGTAACAGTAATTTGTAATTTGTTATTTGTAATTTGTTATTTCTAATTTCTAATTTCTAATTTCTAATTTGTAATTTATAGTTTGTAGTTTGTAATTTCTAATTTCTAATTTGTAAATTAAGCTATTAATAAATTAAGCGAAAGCTTAGTCTTAAGAATCAAAACTTGCTCACCTAATCGCCAGTATCAGATCGACATCGTTCGCTAAGCGATCCAACGCCGATGCGCCCATTCGCTCAATCAAACGCAATTTTCTTTTAACCTAAAAGTATATTCTAAATAAGTTTAAGACAAAAATAATACAATTACAAAGATTATTCTGAAAAAAAAAATGACTTTGCTTGCAAGTTGGGGCATTCGTTTCTCGACAGCGGCCGCGATTTCTTCAGTTCGAGTCATGATCTCGAGTAAATTTCCGTTGCTGTCTCTCTGAAATCATCATCAAATCATCGATATTTATATGCAAATTCAAATATTCTCAAAAAATCTGCTTATAATTCTAGCACACATCAATGTTTCTCCGTTGTGGTGGAGCGCTTCGGGTTCGTCGCTTCATTTCAGTGGCTATAGGTAATCTCGGATCAAGGAGAGTTGTTTTCCTGGACACATGATCGATGAAAATTGTCTAAAGTGATAGATTCAATATATTAGATTCAAATCTCAAAGGAAAATCATTGAATTGTCAGCTTATTTATTCAAAAAAATCCCCCGTTTTCTGGAATGGAATAAAATGAAATGAATTGCTCTAAAAGGTCGAATGATCTGCACCGGATTTGTGCCGCTCGCTTGCCAGTTCGGCGGCAATGGTTGAGTCGAATCAGCGAACAAATTGAGAAATGTCACGAATTCACTGGAAATTCATGAGTTTTCTAGTTTCAGTTTCCCCCCTTTTTTTACCGATTATGCTCGAATTTCTCGACTCGATCCTCGCTTCGTCTCAACCGATGCACCATGTGCTTCAAAAGTTGCGATTCGTTGTACATTCGTAAAGCTTCCTGCAATAAAAATCGTTATCAGATTGAAAATTGATTGAATATCCTTCAAAAATTGAATAATACTTATTGCTAGTCTTGTTGAATCAGTTGAATCAGAGCTATCAGTTGAATCAGAGCTATCAGTTGAATCCTTTTCTGTTTCAGTCTACTCTTTGTTAAACTCAAAAGAAAGTCAAACTTTACAATATCTTTAAATTGCTTTACCCTTTCCCTAACAAACTTAATTAATGAGTAAAACCTCTTTTGAGTGAAGAATGTTCACAAAATCGGATCGTCGAAGAAATTTGAGTGCTACAGAGATCTCAGAATCGGGCAACGGGTTCGCGATCGTGCGTCGAACAAAATGATATCTGAAAAGGGAATTGAATGAAATGAAATGAAATTAAATGAAACGAATTGCTCTAAAAGGTCGAATGATCGATTCTCACTAAAATCAAATTATTAGTACCGTATTTTCTCTAATAGTAGCGCACGAGCCGAGTTGGTGACGATTTTACGCTTTCCAAGCTTTTGCAGAAGCTCAACCCTCTAATCCCCCCCACAAGATCTCATCGTCAACTACATTTTCCGAGCCCACATCGATAGGTTCTGATAAGCGGTTCTCGAGATTTCGAGCAATTTAGGCAACTCTCAGGGTGCACTACTATTAGAGAGAAAACAACGGATAATTTACCCGACGGGATTCCCTTGAACCCTTGATCTCCCGTCTAGGATATAGGGCTCTTAGCTAGTCGGCTAACGATTGAACATTTTAGAGAATCCTTTTCATCGTTGTGATCTTTAGGTTCGGATAATCGGTTTTCGAGATTTCCAGCAATTTATGCGACGCTCATGGTGCACTACTATTAGAGAAAATACGGTATACTGACAAATCGCGACTTATCGCAGGGCTTTTATAACCTATTGCCGGTCTTTTCTCGAAAGTTTTAAACTTTTACACAAACACATAAATCTAGTGAAAAACTGCCCGTGGATTTTAAATACCCTATTTTCTCTAATAGTAGTGAACCCTGGAAAGCCTAGTTGGTGACGATTTTACGGTTTCCAAGCTTTTGCAGAAGCTCAACACTCAAATCCCCCACAAGATCTCATCGTCCGCTACATTTTCCGACCCCACATCGATAGGTTCTGATAAGCGGTTTTCGAGATTTCGAGAAATTTAGGTGACGCTCAGGGTGCACTACTATTAGAGAAAATATGGTAAATAGTAATATCATTTTTGATGTAGTTTTCTGTAGAAACGAGTAAATCGGTTTCACACTTAATTTTAGTGAAAATTGCTAGGGAACTGTTTAAACTTGGGAGTTGGGAAATGTTGGGAAAGCGGAAAAAGCAAAGTTGTAAAAAGCATCGAGTTGAGAAATGAGAATATCTCAAAATGCCCTCTCAAAGACGCCGAGGTATGGGACCGAATTACTCTCTCTTTAAACGTGACCGGATGGTGTAGTGGATAGTGTGCTGGCCGATCGATTCTAACCCTGGCCGATCGATTCTAACCCTGGCCGATCGATTCTAACCCTGGCCGATCGATTCTAACCCTGGCCGATCGATTCTAACCCTGGCCGATCGATTCTAACCCTGGCCGATCGATTCTAACCCTGGCCGATCGATTCTAACCCTGGCCGATCGATTCTAACCCTGGCCGATCGATTCTAACCCTTGTTCGAATCCTCTCACTATCAAAGACCTTTTAGGCTTTTTTCTTAAAGCACTAAACTAATTTTTAGGTATTTTAAAGTGTCTATAAATAGTAAGATGGCCCCTGGAAATGGCATTTTGTTTTTATATTACTACACCCACCTGCTGACAGCTTAACTTTAGTGAAAATCAGTCCTAACTCTCGTTTAAACTTTCATTTCCCTACTTTTTCCCCTTTGCCTCTAAATCTTCGGATGAGTGGAGGAAATTCGTTTCAGGTTTGCGCCAGGTGGTTTGCTAAAAAACGTCTTTAACTTCTCTAACTACAGTGAAATGACCTTCGTTGTGTGATCGATGTAAAAGACTCGACCGTAGCGATCAACTCGGGCCTCCCAGCCTAAAAGTGTATTTGAACTTTATAAATTTGATCCTTTATTTATTTATTTCTTGAATTGAATTGAAAATTTAGAAATTTAAACTACCAGGCGGAAGCTCGGGAGGTGTTGGGAGTGAGGTGTTTGACGAGGTGCTCGGATCGGCGCTGTAAATCATCAAATCTCGCAAATCGATTCAAAAAATACTGTAAACCTAGTCTCATCTCACTAGAGTACGCCCGAGTTAAATGAGAAAACTGAAGAGCAGAGCTTTACGGATCTTTATGAATAAGGTTAAAAGATTCTTGATTTCATTAACTCTTGATTTCATTAATTCTTGTTTTCATTAATTCTTGATCCTTTAGCATACTTTAATGAGGCAAGACTCGACATTTTTACAGTATTTTCAACAACTCAGAGAACAAAGATACTCATTCACAAGCATGACGCCATAGAAACGAGTGGAACTTAGAAAGGGATTGTTTTAGAGACTACGAATTTAGAAGGGGAAAGCTTTTTAGCCATCTTTTTAGCCGTTGCCCACCTACGAAATTCCTATTTGATGGGTTTTTGATGAGCTAAAGTCGCACAAGTTATGAAACATTTTTTTCAAATAAACCCTATTGAAATTGATTCATTTTCCTTGCCATCAGTTTTGCTTCTACCGTATTTCTTCGAATAGAAGACCGAGTAAAGAGTATCATCGCGTACTCCTGCATAGCAGCCCTTTTTAAAATTTCTTTTCTGCATAAAAGCTTTCAATGAAGTGCTATAGAGCTGGAAAATGACTCAAAAATACGACATGAGCTAACAGATTTTTGAGCCATTTTCCAGCTCTATAGCACTTGATTGAAAGCTTTTATGCAGAAAAGAAATTTTAAAAAGGGCTGCTACGCAGGAGTACGCGATGATACTCTTTACCCGGTCTCCTATTCGAAGAAATACGGTAACTTTTTTTTTACAAAGATAACATTGTTCTAATGTTAGTTCACAAAATTGATATCTTTATAGATTCAAGCATTAAGCTAGAACTGATTGTTCTAGAATTCTAGACCGTATTTTCTCTAATAGTAGCGCACCATGAGCGTCCCCTAAATTGCTCGAAATCTTGAAAACCGCTTATCATAACCTATCGATGTGGGATCGGAAAATGGAGCTGACGATAAGATCTAGAGGGGGATTTGAGTGTTGAGTTTCTGCAAAAGCTTGGAAACCATAAAATAGTCATCAAATCGGCTCGGCCGGGGGTGCAATACTATTAGAGAAAATACGGTAGTCTAGAAACTAACCTGCCCTTTCCACTATCCGTAGACATACTCCCACCACTATGACTTGCGACCACTCCTTTCCCAAAGCCCAAATCGCTTCCCAAACCGTCGTTCATTTTTCTCTCTTTACAAAATGATTTCTTATTAAAAAAAGAAGAAATCTTACCGTTTTTTTGTAGATTTTTTGGATTTTTTGGATTCATTTCCGGTAAAATATTGAAAGTGACTGTTAACGTTGCCTATAACAATCATTTTTTATCATTTTTTATCAATTTTTATCTTTTAACCTTTGATTTCTTTGGCGACTCGTTTATTCGAAGTGGTAGAACGATATCTCTGAGTTTTAGATATAAGATTTACAAAACTCTTCTTTTTTTTTTACTGTGAATTTGATTTAACGATATCTGTAACGGGAATCGAACCCTCCAACAATCGGCTCTGATTTTTCCCGATAATTGCAATGGTGATCAGTGATGAGAGGCTAGTCGAAAGTTGTAAATCCTGTATTTTTTTAAAATTAGATTAAAATTTTGAATCAATTACCCACCAAATTTTCCCAATTTGCACTATTTGACGTGGCTGTGACGGCTTTCGTTTCACCGCACTCAACACGCGCTTGCACCGCCGATCGACCGACTCCACTCGCGCTTATTGCTAAAAGATTTTCGAGAATTTATTAGAATGTAGATTTGAAATATTGTAGTCTAAGAAGTAGCCTAAGATCTCCTTTTTTTTCTTCTCTGCAAATCTCTTACCCCTCAATTGTAGCCTTGGAACGGATGAGATGAAAATCGACGGCGAAACAGCTCGCAATGCACCAGTGATCCCATCAAAATATCTAACAAATTCACTTTGGTGAATGAAATTTCAGAATTTCAGAATTTCAGAATTTTTGACGCTTTGGTGACATTTCTTTTGCCTTTACTTAAGAAAAAAAAAGAAGAAAGAGAACCGAAAAGAAAACTGGAGAAGAAGATGCCGAATCTGACCGAATGAGGGTCAGATTTGGGCCCCCGGGGAGCGGTAAAAAGTCACCAACTGAGAAAAGTGAGAAAAGAAAAAGAAAACCAAAGCTCTTTCTCATTCATTGTCATTGTTTTTGCTTGAAAAATTGCTTAAACCATTGCTGTTTTCTGTTCGAGAGGCAAATTCTGAGAGTCAAAAGTTAAGTTTTCCTTTCACAGCACTCTCTACTCTCTATTGGCTCTCTAAAACGTGCGGACTTTCCTCAAGATACCGTAATCTTTCATCTAATATCTGATAAATCTATTTTATCGGATTTTTAGATACAAAAAGTACTGTAGAATAAAGCTGGAGAAGATGGTTTTCGAAATTTAGCATTTAGCATCTATTCTTCTGTAGCAATTAGCATTTAGCATCTATTATTTTGTAGCATCTTCTGTAGCATCTTCTGTAGTATTTTCTGTAGTATCTTCTGTAGTATCTTCTGTAGTATCTTCTGTAGCATCTATTCTTTTGTAGCATCTTCTGTACCATCTTCTGTAGCATCTTCTGTGCCATCTTCTGTAGCATCTTCTGTAGTATCTTCTGTAGCATCTTCTGTAGCATCTATTCTTCTGTAGCATCTTCTGTATTCTGCATGAACACTTTCGATAAACTTCAGCACTAATTTGCTAAATATTAAAACAAAGACTAAACACTTTTTGTGCAAGCCGTTTATCGAGCATGGCAATACGTAGATTTTGAGGCCATTTCGAGTCTCAAGGGGAAACGAATCCACGACGAATGCCCCCAAAATGGGACGGGGATTTGCCCTCCCTTCTCCACTTTTTCCTCCTCTATCCCAGAAAACAAGGGACCCAATCCGTGAATCTCTTGGGACTCATCCATCCCTCGCCCCCCAGATATCACTCTTCCATCGCTGCTCTCCCTTCATCCTTTCTTCTTTTTTTTCATAGCTTTCGTTTTCAGGTGTTTTTTGACGGATCTTTTACTTTATGACTGACGTTTTCTAACATTTGACTAAAGTTTTATGTGCAAAACTCGAAGATCACCTGAAGCAAATGTGCGTTGTGGGAGAGCCAGCAAAAAGAGCGCCAGCTACAGGCCATTTGATCTGTAAAGGAGGAGATTTATTTGGAAAGATTTCAACTTTCTATTGCATCAAAACAAACCTCGCCCCGTTGTACCCCGACGACCCCATGACTCTTGTAGTCACGATAGGCGAGTGGGTCAGCGTCATCTAGAATTCATCTTCATCAAGTTATTCATCAAGTTGAAATCATAAAAGTTGTCACAAGTACAATTTTGAAAGACTAATCACATCGAAAGTCGATGAAAACTCACCCCGATCATAGAGACCGATCCAATCCAAAGCGCTCACTTCGCTTTCAAACACCCACGAGACTTTGATCGTCTGAAAATTATAGATCTAGCTTAGATCTAGAATTTAGATCTTAAATCTAGAATCTTAAAAACAGACGCTCTTTAAAGAATGATGCTCTAGTTATGATAGCTATACCTGATGTGTATCGGGTCCAAGGTAGAGCTCGAGTCGGCTCACTCCTAGCCGATTACTCTCCGCCGAAAATCCACCACCCGATTGCTTTCCTTGACTCACAATCAACATACTGAAACAAATATTTTGTTAACAATAATGTTAACAATAATTATTTCTACATAAATAAACAATAAAAAAAAGGATTTCCTTCCTGAAAGACGAATAAAGAATTTTTTTTTTGGGTTGAATGCTCAAGAAAGGGTAAAGTAACAAAAAAAAGAAAGCTTTCTGAAAGAAAAAAACTAATAGGCGGTGAAGCGAAAAAGCAAAAATTATAGTGATTGACATGTTTTACATTGTTGTTCAAAAGAAAAAAGTGTTGGTGGTGGTGGGGAAATGTGTCACTAACGAACCTAAAAGAAGAGATCCGAGAGAGAGAGCACTCAGGAGACTCACTCACACCCAGTTCTCTCTTTAGGCTTGTATTTTTGAATCTTTTTAGAAAACAAATATCAATAAGAAATGGGCAAAGGAGAAAAGAAATTGAATGAACGAGTGTTCAGTCAGTTTCAGATTAGAAAGTTTTCTTTTCTTTTGAAGGACTAATTTCTAAACTTTTCTAAACATATTAAACTGCTCTACTGGGCCTGCTTTTGTCAAAAACCTTTTTCAAAGAAAAATCAGTTCAATAGTTTGCAATTTTTTAACAACAAGAGCTAAAAAATCAATTAACCAAGATCTGCATTTGATTTAATGAAAAATTAAACCAAGCCAGGGATTGAACCTACGCCCCCTGGAACCCGAAGCGAGAAGCATACCCCTAGACCATCGTCCCTCCTAGAACGGTCTCACAAAATAGCTTTTCAAAGCAATTGACTGGAAATTAATTGACTGGAACTGCAATTGACTGGAAGTCGTGAAGGAATGGTTTCCTTTTAGAGATTTGAAATGAAAGACGAGGAAATGGGGCAACTCGCGTGACAAATTCCTTCCATGGACTTCCACTAAAAGCTTCTATAGACAAAAAAAATAGACAAAAATGTGAATCATCAATAAAAAACAAGGGTTTATTCTAGAGAAACAAAAACTTTCAACAAACAAGCATTCCGGAATCATAGTTGCTTTTTGGAAAGATGTCCTAAGAAAAAAACCGCAGAAGCCGGTCAACTTCGACGCTGGTTTTTCTCGGTTTTCTTGTAGGTGATTGCCTCAAAACAAATTATATTTTTTACTATTAATAAATAAAGTATCTTATATAAATTACAAATCATCAATCATAACTTTAAAAATGGCCAGTTGGCGACTGTTAGGGTCTTTAACCCAATGAAAGGACGAGGTCGATCTGTGTGTACAATTACCCATAATGCTGGGTTTTTCTTAACTACATTGTAGGGGTAAAAATTGTGTCCTCCGTTGTGTTGTATCCACTTATTCATGTTGAATAAAGTATCTTTTTAACTTTAAAAATTGCTTAACTTTAAAAATAAACCAATTAAAAGACATCAATCATACAATGAACCAAATGCTGATCAGTTTTTAAGCTTTAAAATCTCTTCAATAGAATCTATAGATGAATTTTTAAAGTAAAGGAAAAACATTTATACTTACAAATACTGTATTATCTTTAGTTTTCTCTCTTTTTTCGGTGAGAGTATTGTAGCAATATGTTATATGCAGTTATGATTATCTGATTCGCTTCTATTCGCCCCCATGAATAAAGCATATATTGGGTTGGTGAATTGAAAACTGCCGGCTATTGTCATATGTGACAGTTTGAGCACTTTCTTCAAAAGAAACCCATTTTTGTGTCAATGGAAAAGTTGTAGAGAATCAAAAATCAAGCTTATATCCAAATTTTCAGAACGATTCAAAAACTGGTTTTCAAGAAATGCCAAATTTGCAATGTTTCACAAAACTTGCATTTTAAGCGAAACTACTAAGTGTATCTTTTTGGAAATTTGGCTATAAGTCTCATTTTTGATTCTCTACAACTTTTCTATTGACACCAAAATGGGTTTCTTTTGAAGAAAGTGCTCAAACTGGGACATCTCGACATCTCCAGTCCTCCATTTTTGAGTCTCACACTTGTCTCACACACAAACCAAAATCCCACTAGAATCCAAAATCCGAAAGAGGAATCCGCAAATTGCCTGTAAAATGGGCCTTTTGATTACTATTTATTCCGGATCATGAGTAATGAGCTTCGGTGAGAGTATTGCAGCAATATGTTATATGCAGTTATGATTATCTGATTCGCTTCTATTCGCCCCATGAATAAAGCATGGCCGTGATTTCCGTCCGATTTAGATTGAACTTATCGCGGACGTCCGATTTAGATTACAGTCTATATCGGCGACCATCTAAATCGGACGTCATAGATTGAACAATAAACAGTAGTTTCTGCATTTCAACGGTCTTTTATTGATTATTTCATAGTTGGGTTTCCTTCGAAAAAGGGAAAGCTTAGAACAATACTAAACATGTTTTATTGTTCAAGCGTCCGATTTAGATGGTCTAAATCGGACGTCCGCGATAAGTTCAATCTAAATCGGACGGAAATCTAAATCCGACACAACATATATATTTAAATCAATGCTTAACTTTAAAAATTAACCAAATTCAAAGACAAAAACAAATTAAAATATCGATAAACAGCTGCAAAAGAATTTCAAAAAGATGAAAAATGTTCTTGTAAAGAAAATGAGTCGAATATATGAGGTGAAATTTATTTATTTTGAGTCAGTTTTTTCTTTTCCATTTCTTCCATTCGAAGCCAATTTTCTAATTTGTACACGCTATTTTCTCGGCTATTTCCCCCCTGACAACACCTTCATTTGCTTTTTTCCTTTTCTTTCACTCATTTTTTTTTTGGTAAACCTTTAATTGGAACCAAAAAAAAACATTGTTTTGATTGGATTTATAGAAAAAGACAATTTATGTCTCATTGACATTAAATGATTCTTAATCTCTGTTTTTTTATATATTGGGTTGGTGAGTTGAAAAGTGCGGGACTTTGAACTAAAATTTATTCAACATAAAACCATGAATTCATTCCAAATAATTTCCATTATTATTGACGACTTCTTCCCATTTTACAGGCAATTTGCGGATTCCTCTTTCGGATTTTCGATTCCAGTAGGATTTTGATTTGTGTGTGAGACAAGTATGAGACTCAAAAATGGAGGACTGGAGATGTCCCAGTTTGAGCACTTTCTTCCAAAGAAACCCATTTTGGTGTCAATAGAAAAGTTGTAGAGAATCAAAAATGAGGCTTATAGCCAAATTTCCAAAAAGATACACTTAGTAGTTTCGCTTAAAATGCAAGTTTTGTGAAACATTGCAAATTTGGCATTTCTTGAAAACCAGTTTTTGAATCGTTCTGAAAATTTGGATATAAGCTTGATTTTTGATTCTCTACAACTTTTCCATTGACACAAAAATGGGTTTCTTTTGAAGAAAGTGCTCAAAGTGTCACATATCACAATAGCCGGCAGTTTTCAATTCACCAACCCAATAAATTCAAAATAATAATCAAAAAAGTAATTAAACAAATTGGGTTTAATTTCATTTTACTTTAAATCAATTTAAATGAACTCTCTCTTGAAATAATAAAATTCTGACGACAGATGCCTTTCGGACCATCCACCGTACACTTTGCCTTTCAGACGTTTCCGCGCCAAACGTCGGAAACTACCGTAACCCGGCGCAATAAAAGAACCCCGCCACAAAGAATTTTGCAGTCTATCGTCGTGTTTTATTTTTTCAGTCTTTTTTTTCCATTGACACTAAAATGGGTTTCTTTTGAAGAAAGTGCTCAAAGTGTCACATATGACAATAGCCGGCAGTTTTCAATTCACTAACCCAATATATGCTTTATTCAGGGGGCGAATAGAAGCGAATCAGATAATCATAAACGCATATAACATATTTATCATCAAGTTTTTGACACGTTCGGGACGATTCGGTCCACTGGTGGACGAAATTTTTTATAACTGCGCTATAGCTTCTCAACTTTTTAAGATAATTTCAAATGTAAAAAGATTCGATTAGTTCTTTTTGAGGCAATATTTTCGAAATATGATTAGAAATTCGGATTCAGTATGAAATTTTACATATAGGAGGTGTATTTCGGGGCTAATAGCTTTGCGAGACACCCACTGGGGCAGTAACGCAAAAAAAAAACGCTTCGTCGCGAATGTGTTAACACAGATTAAGAAATGTTTAAGAAATGTTTAAGAAATACTAACTTTTATCTCAAGTATGACAGGATAAAACCCTATAAAGTGTTGGATGAATTCAAAAAACCAAAAAAACCAAAAAAAATCTTAATGAAAAGAGGAAAAGCTTCTTCACATTAGAGCAAGAATCTACTCAAATTCTAGAATTTCTGAAAGCCAATAAACCCTTTTCAAATCAAATCCATTAGTCTTTTAGATAATATAATCTTAAAATAAAGAAAAATTCGGCAAAAATAATGGACATTCTTTAAAAATGACTTTTATCTTTCAAACACAAGATAGTTTCAAGAATTCTTTACGTAAAATCTCTCAAATTCTTCTCCAAGAAGCGTGCGAAAAATGCAATTCAATCCGCTTATTTACACAATGATTTTATTCAAAAATGGTATCCATAAATCATTGAAGAAAAGAAAAGAAAAGAAAGAAAAATATGATTAAAGATAAGAAATGAATTTAAAAGCAAAAAAAATAGATAAATCGTGTCACTTTTTTTTTGGTGTAGAAGAGAAAGAAAATCTGAAAATATTTCCCTAGAGATTCACCAAGTTTTTCCTTTTTCTTTGCCTTTATCTAACTTTAGCCGTTTCTTTGAAAGCTTTAAATGTGAATAAATAAATATAAATAATTGATGTGAAAAAAGATGTAGCTGGGGGTGGCTACTTTGCGCCAAACGCCAACTACAGGGTGCGTCATAATTATTGCAACAAGATACTCAAGGCATTGCACACCAAGAAGTTTCACTGGAAGAAGATTTTTAAACAGAAATAGCTTTATTTAACAGTAACAAATAAGGAAACAAGAGATCATTCGATATGACCGCCTTTTGCCTTGATAACAGCCCTTAATCGGTTCGGATATGCCTCCACTGCGGCCCGAATGTCATCTTGAGGAGTCGCCTTCCATCCTTTGGTCCAAGACTTCTTCAAAGAATCCAAACTTGTGTGTTTTCGAGAGCAGACTGAACCAATCTTTATGATGTTGGTTTCATTTTGTTGCACTTATTGAAATCTACAAAATGACACCAAAATCATAAAGATTGACCCACTTAGAAGAAAGTTATGGCGAGTTGCGCAAAAGACCTAGTTGCGCAAAAAAATTTGGCGCAAAGGAGCCACCCCCGCAGTTTTAGTTTAACTTATCAGTAAAGTAGAGTAGTAATAAAGGAGTAAGCCGAATAAGTTTCAGAATTTTTGGTTCTTTTCCGTTAAATATCCGCAAAATTTAATCATTTAATAATCAAAAATCGATCAATAAATTGAAAAAGCCGGCTTCCTCGATCGGCTTCCTATTTCTTGACCCAAATTTACTCCGATTGTTGGCAAGGACAACAGTCCTCGCCAACAATCGGAGTAAATTTGGGTCAAGAAATAGTAAAAGAATGAATTTTCTGTGGTTTTCCTTGTTCATTTTCATGAAATGATGCAAATTTTGCGGATGGATAACGGAAAAGAACCGAATTTTTCTAAAAAATCTTTTGTCATAGTCAGAGTCATAGTCAGAGCTCTGTTTCTATATTAACACTGAACTTTAGCTATTATTAATGGCCCAGTTTTATTTTTAATGACCCAGCTATTATTAATGACCCAGAACAAACGAATTTCAGACTCTCAAAGATTATAAAGTTTATGTTATCAATTTAAAACTGAAACAATAGCTTTTTCCTTATTGTAAGCTATTTTGTAAGCTATTTTATAAGCTATTTTTCCTCAATCTAGCTTTATGTTGCCTTTTCCTGTTTGTCGAGTGAAAAGAGACAAATGAGATTCACGTATCTCGATCGATTCGATCATCAAAAAGAAAAATAAACACAAAGAGCTCTCTATCAATTTAGTGTTTTTTTTTTTTTGGTAATCGATTTCTGCAGTTAAATGTTTAAGTGCTTCTTTTTTTTTAAGAAATTCTATATTTCAAATGTTCTTTTTACTTTAGAAATGGAATGAATGTGATAATTGGAGTGTTGAGTACGCTATTTGGCTTCCTCTCGTTGGTGGGAGCCGAATGCGGGAAGAATGTTACTGAGTTTTGCCCGGTTTGCTGTGCGGTATTATATTCGAATAAAGACTGTGAACTTCAGCGTTACGAGTATCGACTTATCAAAAAGCGAGCAGACGGTTTTTTAGGTGCAATTGTAAGTTTTCAATTGTAGTTAGGTAGAGTCGAAAGGTGAGACTGAAAAGATTGAAAAGCTGTTAGCTTTGATGATTAAAGAATTTGAAAGATATACTTTAGATGAGATTTTTAAAGCCATAATAAGAATTTGTACATACCTTAAATACTAGTAATAGTACCCCACCGCCATAATGACGGTGCGGAGTGTTGCGTAGTCTAGCTTTGAACGAGTTTTTCTCGACACTGGTTTATGCTACGATGCGCGCTTAGGTATCAAAAAATAGGTCTTGCAGACCGCATGCGTAAACGGCGGCAATCAACTTTAATTGCCCTAGCGTAAATACTGTAATAGTACCGCACCCCCATAATGACGGTGCGGAGTGTTGCGTAGTCTAGCTTTGGACGCGTTTTTCTCGACACTGGTTTAGGCTACAATGCGCGCTTAGGTATCAAAGAATAGCCCTGAATTTCAGCTATTTTTTGATACCTAAGCGCGCATTGTAGCTTAAACCAGTGTCGGGAAAAACGCGTCCAAAGCTAGACTACGCAACACTCCGCACCGTCATTATGGGGGTGGGGTACTATTACAGTATTTGCGGTAGTATCTTTTAGGAAACATGTTTTGCTTGAAAGTTAGCCTTTTCTATAACACTCAAAAACTTTCTTTCAGTGGGAGGACAAGACGAGAATCGTTGAAGTGGTAGACGGATGTCTTCTACAAGCTTGGGATCTTCGAAATCAAACTGGTAACCTAATAAAATTGTGAATTGTTTTCAAATTAATACTTTAATACTTTAATAGTTTATCAATACTTTATTAATACTTTATTAATAAAGTAAGTTCTGAGCAAATTCAGGAGCTTCGCGAGCACTTGGCCTCGATGGACGCTCTTTTTATGATCTCAGTCACTACGCTTTCGCTAACCGGATATCGAGTTTAAAATGCACTTGTGTATAAAGGTTTTTTTTAAAATCTTCGACACTATCTATAAAGAACATTGAATACCGTATAAACTTAAAATCTTACACTGTAAACCCGATCAAATCAAGCAAAAACTGTACGATTAAACGTTTTTTAAACCTTTCTTAAACAGTACTCTGTACTCTGTTCGGTACGAGTACTCTGTTCTGTACGAGTACTCTGTTCTGTACGAGTACTCTATTCTGTACGAGTACTCTATTCAAAGCTCTGTCTTGATTTGATGATTGAATTCTGTGGCTTTTTTTTTCAATAATATATAAACCATTCGACGCAGAATTTTACGCTAATTCTAATAATGTAAAAATTAACTGCCGCCAATCACTAATCACCGCCAAACTCGCATAAAAGTTTCGCCTCTTCTTTAAAGCCGATTTTTCTTCAACGCAAATCGTTCATCGGTGGCCGATTGGTTGAGTGATACAGAAAGCTGAGGGTCAAGAGTTCGAATCCGAGTCTCATTTTTATGTCAGTATTGATTTGTGTGATGAATTGTAGCCATATTATGTTCAAAACTTGTTCAACTTCAATAGATCTTTAGCAAACTCAATCAAAGAAATTTCTCGCTCCATTTGTAGGAGATTCGTTTTAGGTTTGAAGAGAAAAAAAAGGCGAGGTGAAAGAAGATTTCAGTAAGCCGACTCGCAAATAATTCGTGTCGAGACGATCGGCCCCGAGGGCACAATGGAGTGTCGAGAAAAAGAGACAGAAAAAAAGAAGAAGAAGAAGAAGAAGAAAGAAAACCCGATCACTCACTAGAGAAACACATTTATCGACAGAAGAAATAGATAGCAGATCTGAAAAGGATCAATGTTTTTCTTCTATGGTATCCCTGTGACTCAAGTGTCCTTCAAAAACTCTCCAAAAATCGCTGAAAACCTTTGTCTTAAAAGCTAGCCAAAACAAACATTGAAAAAAGGTTATTTTAGGCTTAAAGAATAAAATTAAAGAATCTTGAATCAAAGAGAATTTTGAATCTTTCTTAAATCAAAGAGATTACGGTAGATAGATGATCAAATATACTAGAAAAGGCGTGAAAAGAAAAAAAAAGGTAAAGGAAAAGGTTCCAGAAAGATGAAGAGAGTTGAAAAGAAGAGGGAAAGGACGCGGGCGTGTCTGATTAACTGCAGATCAACGTACGCAATGCGAGAAGCACTCTCGAGAGTTGACAATAGAGAAGAAAACCTCTTTTCTGATTTAGGATTGTGAGAAGCGTGTCTAAAGATACCGTGAAATAAAAACATAATGAAAATTCGATATGAATTCAATTATTACTAGATTTCTAAGCTTTCTCTAGATTTCTAAGCAAAATGCTGACTATTAAAGCTGCTTTAAGAATGTGTTCTTCATGTTCTTGTAAAGAAAATGATATCGTTTTATAACATATAACGTTTTTTGTTTCTCGATTTCTTGGATCTAGCTTTAGCACTACTCTAGCAGTTTTGATTCTCTTTCAAAATCAAAACCAAATAAGGTCAATCTTTTTACAAGCCCAGCAAGGCTGTTACTTATCATTCTATTATGAGTTTTGCTGTTTGGGCCACCCACGAATCAAAACCAAATAAGGTCAATGATTTGGGTTCATCAGAAAGAAAACGATTGACGATGAAAGAGAATGGGAACGGTAAGCCGAAAGGGAGAGCACCGCCCCACTCCTGGAACCGCCTCAGGGTCCCTTCACCAATCACTCACTTCATCTCAAACACTAGAAGAATCATTAGAACTTGAAGAAGTTCTTTTCTTAAATCATTAGAACTTGAAAAATTTCTTTTCTTAAAATCATTAGAACTTAAAGAATTTCTTTTCTTAAATCATTTATCGCTCTTTTGGATGAACTCTGAATTTATATTTGCTATCAGGTGCTTGATTGATTCTTTAAAGAAAATGATTCAACCGCTGAGTCAGATCAATCAAAGTGGGGGCGGTTGAAAAGTTTCGTTTAAGCAAACCCCCATATCCTCTCAATTTAAAGAATTCAAATAGTTGGCTATGGGTTTCTTTTTGTTTTGATGAGTCCAGACTCGTTCAAAGAATATAAAGTGGTTATCATTCTTCAAAACCATCTAGATAGTACTCTTTTAGGTTATAAAATAATCGAAAATCTAAAATAAAATAAATCTAGCTGATATCTGTGCTTTAAAATCATCTTAACAGTAAAATCTTTTAAACTAAAATAAAAAAAATGTCGATAACCCAGTATAATACAATTATAAAGTGATTTGAATCGCTTAACTTGTCTTGTCAACTTGTCAGAACTTGTCAAAACTTGTCAAAATTTGTCAAAATTTAATTGTATTGACTGAATTTCTCTAGTGCGCTTGAAATTTTATACAGTTAGATGTAAGGGTGGTCTTTAAACGAAGAATGGAGAAGAAAGGTAGACGCGGAATCTTCGTGTCAATATCCTCGTGCAAACAATCACTACATAGCCGCTTTTGGGGAGGAAAGGAGCGGTTGAGTGACCGAACCAATGAATGGAGGAGAACCAAACGAGAGAGATCGCAACCATTCACACCTTGTCCCCTACAATTCTACTGCTTTGCGAAACGTTTCCTTATACTCATTCTATTTTTCTCGTGTTCTGTATCAATTTTCTCTTTTCGCTTTTCTACAATTTCCTTTCAGATCATCGAGATGGGTCACCCGTGGACAGCTTTATTGTTGATTTCGAGTGTCTCCGCTTTAATTCCCAGAGAGCTTTTGTTTTCCGATCCAAAATACTCAGCAACTTCTTTATCAAATGATGGACGGTAAATCTTGAAATGACGGTAGATCATAAAAGTCAAAAATCTTTTAGATTCATTGCTTTTATTGGACCTGATGAGAATGGGATTCGAAACGTTTTCACGAAATGTGTGAACTGTCGCCATACTCGGCAGGTCACTTTCGAGAGAAACAATCATGTTCAAGGTTGGTTTAAAACCTACTCTAATAGAACTCTAATAGATCGCCATCTTCGGGGTGGGCTAATTTCCGCAATTTTTTTGCGCAACAGGGTCATTTGCGCAAATGGGTTGTTTGCACAACTCGCCATAACTTTCTTCTAAGTCGGTCAATCTTTACGATTTTGGTTTCATTTTGTAGATCTCAATAATTGCAACAAAATTAAACCAAAATCATAAATATTGGTCGACTTAGAAGAAAGTTATGGCGAGCTGCGCAAAAAATTGCGGAAATTAGCCTACCCCCTCATCTTCATAATAACGGGTGTACAATCGCATAGTCTAACTTTAAACATTCGATTTCTATTATTATTGAATCAAACTTTCCAGGCTACCAATGGACTGCTGTACCAGATATCATTTTGTATATGTATGATAATGATGGTGATGAAAACACAATGATTTTCAAAAAGAATATTTCACAGGTTGGTGTTGGTTTCAAAATTGTCTAGAATCTTTTTACAGGCAGCTCCGAAAGATGACTTGGTTGTCGTTTCAAATCGTCCTGGTGTCAAGGGACTCATCATTGCAAACAATCGTGAAGATCGAAAAGTGTTGATTGGAATGAACGACGCATCGCCAGCGTATCATCAACTTTCTCAAATCTAAATCTTTAATTTTTAGTTACCACAATGTTTACGAGTTTGATCTTTACACAAATCAACTTACTCTCAAGGTTTTTCTTTTACTTTCAAACTTCTAGCTTTTTTGTTTAGGTTCGCAACACTCGTTTCCCAATGTTCGTTGTTGACAATGAGCTCCGAATTCGATTAGCCAGCCAACAAATGGATGATGGTAGCATGATGTACTATAGGTAAATATAACAAGTTATTGACCTAGACATAATCCAATAAAAACAAAGGGCGTAGTTTCCGGGTATTTTGAACGGATCGTCACACTTTGAAGGCCTATAACTTTGTCCAGAGATTATATTTTTATTAACTTTTTATATCATTGTACAAAGGATATTTCAGGCTTTCAAATGATACCAAATAGAGCTTGATTGGATAATCGAGTCCAAGAAAATCAGAGCCAACATCATAAAATCAGCAAATGAGACCTAGCTAACTCGGGTGTTGTGTCTCCTTGTTTTCATGGGAATGAAAAATCCAGTCAAGCGCTATTTGGTCTCATTTGAAAGCCTGAAATGTCCTCTGTAAAATCTTATAAAAAGTTAATAAAAATATAATCTCTGGACAAAGTTATAGGCCTCAAAGTGTGACGATCCGTTCAAAATACCCGGCAACTACGTAAGAGGCAAACAAAGTAAGTTGAAAAGTCTTTTTTATTGGACACTCTGTAGTTGTAAGAAAAGTACTCAAGAGATTTGAATGTTCCAGATTGACCCCTGAAGCTGAAAAGATTACACCAATTCCAACTGATGAGGGAAGCTGGCAAGAGTATCTCCGCGTCTCACCCGATGACAAACCACTTTCAATGTAACACTTTGAGTGAGAAAAAGTTCTATTTTTTAAAGTTATAGGCCTATCGGTTTTGACAAGTCGAATGAGATTATGTACTGGATTTGGGGAGAGGGTTCGGATCTTGGAAATCTTGTGCAATTTTACTTTGAGAAACCGGCTGAGAAAGAGGTAGCTTTACTTTTTGATGTTACGTTTGGTTAAGAATTTACCGAATCAATTGAGTCAAATGTGAAATGCTCAATGCTATTGTGCAAATCTAAGCATTTGCTAGAGTTTTCTTTATTGGTGTTGTATTGATACATCGGCAATAGTATTGTTTTTTTCTTGTGCTAAAGATATCATAAAAAAATCTTAAAATTAAGAAAATAGTAAAAACTTATTGCAATTAGTTAACAAAAAGACATCAATATCATCATTTTTGCGTTCTACACTCTCTTGTGATTGCGAATAGGGTTTTTCGTGAATCATTTTGCAATTTAGTTGAATTATTCTTTGCGTTAACTATCAAAACTATATTCAAACAGATTTGCATTTAGCATTTCACATTTTTACACAATTCATTCAATAAATTCTTAATTGGACGTAACTAGTGAAAGAAAACAGGTCCTCTACACAGCAACTCGTGCGCAAATTGGGCAAATCATCACACATCCCTCGGAGAAGAATCTGTTGGCTGTCACAGAGGTGAGAGATTTATGAGCTTTCTGTTAACCCTGTTTACCCCTAATCTTAAGGTTTACCATCGCCCTGAACTCTATGTAGCTAATGAGAGCGCGATGGAGGATTTCCAGTACCTCGTCAACCTTCGTCCACACGGATCTCTTCAGCTTTTGTCGCTTAGCAAAGGTTAACTGAGAACTGACTATAATAAAGAAATGAAGGAATTGGCAAGTAGATTTCCGGAGGAAGGATTGAACCCTGCTTTCCGGGCAATCGCTCTAACCACTGAGCTATCTGGTACCGTGACTTGCCAAGAGAAAGAAGGAAAGACAAGGGGGAAGTAGAAAGAAGGAGCCTAGAATCTTTTAGCTGATACAATACTCATGATTTAGATATGAACACATGGCTAGTCACATACCTCTCTGCTGAGAAACCCTTCGAAGTCTTTGTCTATCGGTTGGTGATGAATAAAAACTTAAATACTAAAGTAAAATAATGTTGATGCTTATTTAAATAGAAATTCTTTACTTTCAGACGTTGGCTGAAGACAGCCGAGTTCCTTTTCAACACTCATCCTCAGCTCGAAGGTTTCAAATTGAACAAAATGGTAAGTGCTGGGAGGATTCTTTGAATTGTACTCTTTAGGTTGGCTTCGACTTTATGACAAGGGACAACATGCAACTCCAAGCCTATCTCTCATTGCCACCAGATGTTCGTTGACTAAAGCATTTCTAAAGCGTAAAAAGATTTAGGCAAAATTGCAAAACGCAACCGATGTCCCGGTGGCGGATCGAGGTTTGGCTGAATTGGGAATGCTTCCGCTGAGATCACAAAAGGTTTTGTATGAAAAGGATTAGGTTAAAAGGGATTTCCAGTTGGTGGTAATGGTTCACGGTGGTCCAAAAGCACGTGACGTCTATGGGTTTAATCCGGTGAACGCTTGGCTCACCAGTCGAGGCTATGCTGTCTTGCAGGTTTGTTTCCTGAACTGAAAAGCTTTTGAATACTATAATCAATTAATCAATAAGAAATACTTCCCGTACAGTATTTATCTTGAAAATCTGAAAAAATGAAAATCTTATTTTAGGTGAATTTCCGTGGCTCCGTTGGTTTTGGTAAACGATTGACGAATGCTGGTGATGGAGAGGTTGTAAAAACATTAAAAGAAAAACATTTCTAAAATTCCAGTGGGGTCGAAAGATGCATTATGATCTATTGGATGCAGTTGAATTCGCGGTTGCTAAAGGAATAGCCGATCGAGATCAAGTCGCTATTATGGGTAAATAGCCAGTAATAATGTAAAGTAAGGAATGAAAAAGATAAATTTCTGGAAAAGGGCATCGAACCCTCGACCGCTACTCGGTATCCCCATGCCAGAGAAACAAAGAGGGAATACAAGGGGGAAGAGAAGGAAATACCCGGCTGAATAAGCTGATGAAGCTTAGAATTCTGATAGTAATCGGATTTTTTCCTAAATTTCAAGTATTCAGGTGGTTCATATGGTGGTTACGCGACATTGGTTGGACTCACTTTTACTCCGGAAACTTTCGCTTGTGGAGTCGACATTGGTATGTGCAAAGCAACAGCTTCTAGAATCCCCATTTTCCAGTCGGTCCCTCAAACTTGCAAGGACTTCTCGAAGCAATCCCTCCATATTGGCTTCCAATGTACAACGAGATCACAAAGGTTTGTTGAATGGAAAATTTTAAAGACAAAAAGCTTTCAGATGCTTGGCGCTGACATGGACACCGAGGCTGGACGGCAATCGCTTCGAGCTCGCTCACCGCTTTACTTCGCTGACAAGGTTTTTTTTTTGATCAGCAAATTCTTTTCAATAACATAAATGTGTAGGTGAAAAAGCCACTCATCATTCTCCACGGCGCAAACGATCCTCGAGTCAAACAGCAAGAGTCTGGTAAGAGTTGGTTAAGCGCTTGAAATTGAGGCCAAAATTTAGACCAAATTGTGACCGCTTTACAAAAGCACTCAATTCCCGTCACCTATGTCGTCTATCCGGATGAGGGACACGGTTTCCATAAGCCAAACAATCGGTAAAAAGTGTTTTAAAAGGTGCGTATCCTTAGCGAAATTCACAGAAAAGCTCAATACGGTTTCATCGAGAAATTCTTGCACGGTTGTTTGGGTGGTCAATACGAGAGTTTCACTGATGGACAGTACAACTCGACAGCAATCGTAAAGTGACGTCATGAAATTGAATAGCCAAAAAATTTCAGTTAAAAGCTGATGGTTTTGCGACAGAAACGATCGCTTTGTCAACCACAGAAGAGTCCAGAGAAAAGCCAAAGACCGCGCCCGCACTTTTCTATAGGTATGCTCGACTGGCTAAGACCGCTGTATCTGAATCGAGAGGTCAAGGGTTCAATCCCGCCAGCTAGATTATTCGCTCGTTTTTTCGCCTTCATTTTTCGCCTTTATTTCGCCAGCTAGATTATGTTTTTTTAACGTAAGCGTTGCTGGAATAACTATTCAATCCAATCAGAAAATATTAGCAAAATTTAGACCCGTGAGAATACCGATGAATCGCGGAATCTACAACCCAGTGCCAACCCGAATCCAACAAGTACGAAAAACTGAGGAGTAAAAAAAACGAGGAGCTAAAATAGTTCAGATAAATTTTGAAAACTGCCTCTCAATAACGCTTTTGAAAAGATTGCTTATTGTAGTCAAATTGTTCATTTAAGGCTTTTTTTTCGAATTCCATCGAGGTTCGCTATAGAACAGAAAATTTAAGATGGCCCAAGCAGCCGCTACCGTGCAACAACAGCAGCAACAGGCCCCTCAACTCGCCTATCCACCCTATGTACACTCAGTCCCGCACGCTCAACCCAGTGCATTCGGTGCCTCGACACCCATTGGCCTTAAATACACCTTTTTGGGATAAATGAAAACGCTCGGAAAGATTTCAAAGATTTTAAAATCTCAATTTCTCACAGGAAGTCATACTCAACATAAATCCCAACCAATCTCTGCAATCCAATCTCTTAACAATCAATACATTTATAAAATATTCTTTTGACCATGACATGTGATCTGCAAATAGTCGAGTACCCAGTCTTTCTAATTGTATCTTTTTCAAACGATTTATTTTGTTCTGTTTTCGCTCAGTATTTTCACTTTGTCTTTTGTTGATTTTCCATTAAATAAAATTTCTTGATTTTAACATAAAGCGAACAGAAAAAAAAAGAAAATACTCAACAATAAATCACATTCATTTTGCAACGACACTTATTTTCAATCAGAAAGTATCTCTACACCGGACGAGTCGCTTTCCTCGGTTGACTTCTTTTTCGTTTTTTCATATTTGCTGTGTTTATGCTTGTCCTTCTTCGACTTCTTTTTCTAAATTTAATACTTTTAAATAGCAATGTTTTATAGCGTCAATCAAGTGATTGAAAGATTAATGCCTTATGCCTGCTCTTTTCTTTCTTTTCCTTCTTCGCTTTCTTCTTGTCCCGTAAACCATCGCGCAGATATTTGTAAACGGTAGCAACAGAAATGGCTAAATGAGAACGTTTCAAAGATCTACATTAAAGCAAACCATCAGGTCTATCTGTCTGAGGAGGGGGTTCTGGGCCAATCGTTACTTCATCGTCTTTTTCCTCAACTGATGTTGATGCAGGTGGGCTTCCTGGTGGTGTAGTGGGAGAAAATTCCTAAAACTTTGCCTTGCTTCAAAATAAAGCAACACCAAGTCTTAAAAAGTAGTTGAAAAAGACGAAATACCTGTTGACGAGAAGATCCAGCTGGTACTTCAGGGAGAGGGCGCGTAGAAGAACTAAATGAATTTGCTCAAAGCTGATTTTTTAAAAACAATTACGTTTCTTGAATCTTCTTTTCTGAAGGCGGTGGTTCGTCTTTTGTCTTGCTCACTTCCAACTCTTCCTCTTCATCTTCATCTTCGAGGTCCGCAAAAATAGCTTCAAAAATATCCATCGGAGGACGCTCCCATCCTTCCTTAAGTCTTTTTTATACCAAATCCAGGGATTAAATGCTATGCTTTATGCTATGACATACCGATGTTACTCAAACTACACTATTATCCAACTTACATCTTGCTGCTCTTCTTGTTGTAATTCATCAGAAGTTGGTTCTTCGCTTTCAGTCTAAATCATAGTAATATACTTTATTGTTAGTATAATGATTTTAACTAACATCGCCTCAAAATTAAAATGAACATGAAAGACATTCAACATTACGGCCAAAACAAATAATGCTCACCTTAATTTTCAAATCTTCTTTGCTATCATCGTATCTTCCGCGTTGTTGTTCTTTGAATGCCAACTAAAAAAATGAAATAAGTATAGCTCCTCCTCAAATTTATCAACCTCAGCTTGGGTATTGGGCAATCCAAGATTAACAATAGTTTCTTTGGAGCGTCCTTCGCGTTGTAAATGAGCACATCCAACATAATGGGAACCAGGAAATGGGTTGGGTACTGAAATTTAATCAACGTTTTTCGATAATGTAAAAGAATACCGTTAAAAATCTTTGCCAGGGTTTTATGCGGACGCCACTCATACGTTATGCGTGTACGAGAGCCAAACATGCCCATTCGAACTGCTGCCATTTTGTCTTCGTCTTTTGACGCGTGCTGAATCAAATAAACGCCATGGATTTATTTAATAAAAGAACTACCTTTTCTGAATTTCCCTTTTCGGACACAAATTTACTTTGTAATAGCTCTTGTAGCGGCATAGCTAACGCGGTATTGGCCAAAGGTTGCATTCTTGCTCGAACCTAAAATTAAATCTGTAAAACATACGAGTAAACTTGATTTCCCACACATTGAAAAACAATTGTACGAGCAAAACTCACTTCGGGTAGCATTCCTCGTTCTTCGGTTGTAAGCTGTTGCTCGAATTCCTTTTTCTCATTATCCCACTCCCAAACTGACATATCGGTGGGCTGCGGATATGGTAGACCTTAATGCCAAAATTTTCTAACTTTTCATGCAATCTACAATTACGCGACACGCTAAAAAGAAACCTCTTTTCAGATAATAGAGAAACTCTTTGAATCTTCTTTGTTTCATGGGTTCATCTGGAAAAGCTTCCCTATTCACAAAAGCCTCCGGCCCCTAGACAATAATTTATTAAAAAACACTTGAACATAAATACTGACTTCCTCTTCTTTTGGTTTCAAATCCCAACGACTTCGGCGGTCTCCTCTATTTTTGAGACGAGCTCGATCCTTATCCGCAACGGCTTCCATGTAGTTGATTCGATCCAAACCCAATAACCTAGACGAGAATCGTTAGTATGTGATATGTTTAACCAGGCTATAAATTTTAAATATATACTTTGCTCGTTGCACCGGGTGTAGCCTTTCCATAGTTTTTTGCACTTGTTTGGGAAGACGTGATTGATCAAGTGCTATGGGTTTGTGCGTCGGTTTGAATGTATGTGGAATCCTTGGTGCAGCATAGAATTTTCTTGGCGGAACCCGTCCCGTAGAAGTGGTAAATGTTGAGTCAATCTAGACAACTTTAAAAAGAACCTAAAGGCTCGACTAACTTTTGCCGCATCAGGTGCTTGACTTGGTCCGTCAAGTGCAAAGTCGTATTGTGAGAGGTCGAAGTTTGTATAAACATTTTCGTCATCATCTTCAAATACCCCAACACCGAATGCCTAAAAATTCGCCAATTAAAGTCTCGAGGTTGCAATGAACTATTTACCTGACCGCTAATTCCACGACTTTTCCTGCCACTTTTAAGAGCAGCCGAGGTTTGGCCAAAATTTTCATTTAGTATAGAAGTTGATTGCAATCCTGTATAGCCAAGTCCATGTAAACCTAAAAATTAATGTTAGCTTTAAATAATAAATACTGGCTCGCCTTCTATTGACTTCAGCACTTCTACAAGCGAGTCTTCAACAGAAAGCTCCGCTCCTTTGGCAATGCGGAGTGTTTGGGCACGATCTGTTTCATCATGTCCTAAAGCTATCAATCAAAACTGTTATGTAGCTTTTAACTAGCCTCTGCGCGCTTTTTCAAAATTCATTTCTAATCCAACACCCCGTCCTTGTCGCCAACCCATTTCACGCAACATTTGTACTCCAACCGAATCACTGAAAACCTTTAAGTACATATTTTTAAAAAAATCGTTTTTAATAATATGATTGACAGTATTACCTAACAGGGCGTACAATATCTTCAAGGTGTACTGCCAAAGAACTCGAAGTCACATTTCCATGATCCCATGCAAACCTAAATTATATTATACTTTGAAAACAAACAGCATTTCTCGCGCTATATCCCTTACCTCCGTTTATTTGAATCTTCACCTCGAAACGTTTGTGTTTGACGAATTTTTCTTGAAGATATTCCAAATTCGCCAAGATCCTGTATGCAAAATAAATACCACAAATTTTAAAAATGCTGACTTCTGCATCCATGAAATCTTCCGGTGTTTGCTGAAAGCTATCATGTCGTTCGCTTCTTGTAGATTTAAAAGCTTGTGGATACCATCCTAAACGATCTCATTTTAACAAAAAATAAAGTCTAAACCTTTCTTTGACCCTACAGAATTGAAGAAACCAGCAGAAAATCCACCAGTGAAAGCTCCATGAAACCTAAACTCAAAAATTTCGATAATTTTTTCAAATCCAACCGTCGCCTTCCTCTTTCATCCGTAGCTACTTGATCGTAAATTGATTTTGGAGTTTTCGAAACTGTATCTTCTAAAATCGGTTTCTTCTTTTTAAAAAAACGGAATGCTCACTTTGTTCATCTTCGAGACTCTCAAACTGGGTTCCAAAAGTCGCAAGAGACTTCCTGTTCATGGCATCAATCGCCCAAAAACAAACCTAATTTCCGCTCATTAATTCTTGCTTATTCTGCAAAACCCTGTCCACGAATAATTTTCACTGATACTTCGTTGTCACAACAAAAAAAAATAAAAATGCTACATAAATAATAAATATTTATTTTATTTTCTAGAAAGATGGGGATTAAAACCGGAATTATATTTTGGCTTTTGTCGTTCCTTTTCCTTGTCTTGCTGTTTGGCTAGCTCCGGATGCATCACTCTCCAGCTTCGCTCTTTTTCTTCACGTTCTCGCCTTAATCTTTCTTCTCGTAATTCGGCTAATCTAAATATTAAATTATGCTAACTACCCAAATAAATCTTTTTCGGTTTGGTAAATTAAAAAGCGTACTTTGAACTTTTCGAGTCCTTCTCGTCTCTTTTCTCTTCGCGATCGGATTCATCGGAATCGGCATGTTTTGCGCGCTTTCTTAAATTATTTTTCTATACCCAAAATCATCTAAAAAAATTACTTCTTTTTCTTTTTTTTCTTGTCCTTCTTCTCGCTTTTCTCTCTTTTTCGCTTGGGAGCTTTTTCTTCCGGCAAACATTGCGAAGCTGACTTCTCCGATGACGTCTAAAAAGTCTTTGCAGAAAGCTACCAAGGTAAAAATCCTACCGGATAAACAAGCCTCTCTGGTTTTGATAAAGTCGTTTTCCGACGTGGAAGTGTTTCGTACCTAAAACGAAATTAACTTAAAGGACGGCACTTGTGAAGTTGGGGGAGGGCAATTTTTTTTTCTTCAAATGCTGTTTTCTAACGTAATTTTATTCGTAGATTCCGAATAACACAACGACAAGTTGGGAAAATGCGCTTTAAGCTGAGTTTCGGGGGTCGAAAGTGCGCGCTCTTATAGTGTCTTTGATGAGGCGTACGTATAAAAGGGCCCCTCTAGAGCCCGCGGGAACTTATTTATTCTTCCAAAATCAATTTCTCCGTAATAATTAAGCATAAAGTTCGTATTTTCGATCAAATTAGATCAAAATAAATTTTTTTTTGGAAATTTTGGGCATGTAGTCCCCAACATGGGTGAAAAGCATCCAAGAATCAAAAAATATATTTTTTCAAGTTTTTGTTTTTTCCGCTTAGTCGCTAGAAAATAAGTTTTAATGCGTAAAAAGTGATTTTGGCTCTCATTTACATCCAAAAATCTGTCCGGGTGGCTGATTATTTGGGCTTCACGCATCAAAAGCACTATAAGAGCGCGCACTTTGGACCCCTGAAACTCGGCTTAAAACGCATTTCCCCAACTTCTCGTTGTGTTATTCAGAATCTACGCATAAAATTACGTCAGAAAACAGCATTTGAAGAAAAAAATTGCCCCCCCCCCCCCCAACCTCACAAGTACCTAAATGACTATTATATGTGCGTGCGCTGTTTTGTGCGGCCCCAATAAAGCTTAAATACTTACCATTCCTTCTTTTTTGATAGTTCATTTGTGTCCTGAGCAAGTTTGACGAGAATTCCCATTTTTGTTTCCCATTCCTATGTAAACAAATTGTTAAAAAAGCTGATCCTCAGCTAGTTACTTCTTTTTCCTTTTCTTTATCCTTCTTGTAATCGTCATTTCCAGATCCAAGATTTTTCCTTTCTTCTCTAAAAATGCCATACTTCTAAAAATTTACCAAACTACAACTTACCGTTCTAAATCTTCGAAGAAATTGATGTGTGTGCTTGAAGAGGGTTCATCCGGTGTATCCGTAGTGCCACTTTTAGAACCATAAAAATTGTCCATCCTTTCTTGAGCCTTAAAATAAAAATTTAATCTAATTTCAGAAAAGAATAAAGCTACTTCTCTAATTAAATTTACCTGATTTCTCAATGCTGATAGTCGTCGCTCATTTTGAACATTAAGTTGCCGCTCGAGTTCTCGTCGTTCATCTTCAGCCGCTTTTGCTTCATCTCTGCAATATAAATAATCTTTGTAAAGGCAAAAATTTTGAAGAAATAAATACTACGAGTGAAATTTAAACAAAAATAAGTGAAAACAAATGCAAAAACTTACTTGCGTACCCTCCGGATATTTTCCTTTGTCCGCACGTGCCAACTCTTATGATGAAGAATGTTCATCTTCCTTTGTGGTTAGCTAAAAATCAATTTTGTTTACCCATATTAAAAAAAACAAACAAAATGACAAGAAATAAGGTGCAAGAGGTATTCGAATTGGAAATGTTTTCCAAAGAAGTACAATGCACTACTATTCTCTCTTTGGAATGCCGCCTTCACAAGGTTTTCATTTGCTAACTGAATCTGCACTTGAACTAATGTATAGGATTTGTAACGAGACTAATTATAAGGCTGTTAATTTAACACGAAAGGGCTAGCTAACACACAACTCGGGGGTGGGAAAAATGCGACTTTTTGCATTTTGCGACATTTGCGCACCTTTTTTTCGCTGGAAAAGGCCGTGGAGCTTCAAAAATATTTCCATAGAAGGGAATCGTATGCGTAGATTCCGAATTTGACGTGTCAGCTAGTTCTGATTTGTCAAAATTCTGTATCTACGCATACGATTCCCTTATCATGAAAACATTTTTGAAGCTCTACGTCCTTTCCTAAAGCCTTTTCCAGCGAAAAAAGGTCGCATTTTTCCCACCGCCCACAACTCCATTTAAAACAAAGCAAGTGGCAAATAAGTTTCCATTTTATATTCCGTTTCTGTATAGAAAGCTTTGCGCTTTTTAGCTAAATATCTAGAGAACAGTAACAAAAGTATAAATATCTAGTCGTGCGAAAACCCTGCGTAAGTTAGTCTTTTGGTTCTTTCCAAAAGCTGTTCACTTTGAATTCGTTCACAAATCCTTATTGTCATTTTAAGTAAAACTTTAGCTCAGGGGATGTTATCTGCTGGGCTTTCCTCCGAAGAGCCACAATTTGCACCACGATCTGTCTACAAAGGTTTCAGATTTGTTGACCCTTCTCTAGAATTCGAGGTATTATTTCATGTGTAATTCGCTTTAATTCCCTACCTTTAGATACCGAAATTCATTTGCTGCGATGGAAACGATATGTACGACCCAAATATGATGAAGTCATTCGACCTTTGCACGACAGACCGGACTTTTTCGGGGAAGCCGCTATCTCCAGGCAAAGTAAGGCGATTTTCTTAAAGTGGAACATGGTTGCAAGTTCAGAGATGCCGAGATGGATTTGAAGAAAAAGAAAATACGATGGTCAAAAAGGAATGCGAAAATCAGGCTACATGGAAGTTTCACGCCGAAGATCAATATTCTGAAGACAAGTTTCAATCCACTGCCGTGATGCAAAGATCCCCACACTCAAAAAGCAACGAAGAGCTTGCATTTAGATATGGTACATTTTGTTATACCTTGCATTTCAAGTATATTCTGTTGGTCGAACTTAATGTGGTATTCCTATAGAGCCACCAAGTGTTGGTGAAGCAAGCAATGATTCATTTGATAACGATCAAATGGTATTTGTCGATCCGTTGGAAATGGTATTTTTGCATCAACTTCATAATTTACTTCTGTTAAGGACTATCAAAAGCCTCATTGTTCGAAGACGCTAATTGACAATGATCTTTGTTTTCTTGGTGAATTCAAAGCGCCAAATGACAAGGTTTGTGGTTTTTGAATAAGCAATTATTTTTGAATAATAGAACCCAGTGCGAAAAGTGTTTGTAAAAGAAGCTACAGCATCTTCATCATTTGATAATGGTCAAAACGAACGACAAGGTTTTCGACTGTTAATAAAAAATAAAAGGCTCTTTTTTAGATATGCACGGACAATTTCGTGGATTGTTGAAAGATGACAGCGAATTCTTTGAAGATGAAAGTATGCAATCTATTTTACTCATTCACTTTATTTTCTAGCTAAAATTCTTGGTCCGGATTTGCGAAATCGTTTGTTCGCAAGCCTAAAAGAAAAGTTTGGATTCAACACGTTTCGGCATCGTCAGAAGCACGCGATTACTGCAATATTGACCGAAAACGACGCTTTTGTGCTTATGCCAACAGGTTACTCGATTTCAAGGATTGTACAAAATTTTACAAGTTTTAGGCGCAGGGAAAAGTTTGTGTTATCAGCTGCCAGCGATCCTCTCACCAGGCGTAACTATTGTTGTGTCACCTTTGAGGTCCCTGATTGAAGACCAATGCTCAAAGCTGAAATCTTTGGATGTGAGCTTTCGTTTAACATATGAATTTTTTTTCTTGTTCAGATCCCCAGTGAAGCATTAACTGCAGACTTGAAGGAATCTGATGCTTTCGCTATATATAGTCGACTTTCCATGGAGCCGCCCGATATAAAACTTCTTTACGTTACGCCAGAAAAGGTACTTTAGCGGAGAAACTTTAACCTCTGAGGCTAATGTGTTTTTTTAAATTTACGATATCCGGTTTTAGATAGCTGCTTCCGCAAAGTTGTTGGCTGTATTTTCTTCCTTGCATCGACGGGGTTATCTTTCACGATTTGTCATTGATGAAGCACATTGCGTTTCACAGGTTTCTCATTTTGATGGAAAGCTTAAACAGAAATTTGATGTTTAGTGGGGTCATGATTTTCGACCAGATTATGCTCGTCTTATGAGGTTGCGAGAGACCTACAAAAATCCATTGGTATAAAATTGATTTTCTTTTTACTATTAAATCTTTAGGTGCCCATTGTCGCGCTCACAGCAACAGCAACGCCTAGAACCATTGTTGATACTCGAAATCATCTTGGAATTCCTCATGCCAAATTGTATATTGGTTTCGCTGGCTTTTTTTTATGATTTATCACTTTAGGTTCATCAGCAGCTTTGTTCGATTTAATCTAAAGTATGACGTAGTACCGAAAAATGCAAAAAAAGCTACTTCAATCGTTCAAAAAATGAAACAACTTTATCCAGGCAAAGCCGGAATTATTTATTGCTTGTCACGGTAAAAATTGTAATTTAAACTGAAGTTATAAAAACTTTTAGAGCTGAGTGTGAAAAAGTGGCAACGATGCTCAAGAAAGAACACATTTCGGCTGACGTTTATCATGCTGGTTTGCCAAATGAAAGACGAGTTCAGGTTTAGATTTACTATTTGACTATTAATTGATTGGCTGAAAGATTTCTAGGTTCAACACAAATGGCTTGCCAACAAATTTGACGTAATTTGTGCGACTATAGGTGGAGGATTTAACATAGCATTTTTGTATTCTTATTTAGCATTTGGCATGGGTATCGACAAGCCTGATGTACGTTTTGTAATACACTATAGCTTGCCAAAGTCTATTGAAGGATTCTATCAGGTTTATTTTAAAGTTATTTTTTCAAGAGTTTTTCTCAGGAAACCGGACGTGCAGGAAGGGATGGACTTCCAAGTTACTGCTGTTTGCTTTACTCCTACCAAGATTCGTTGAGATTGCGAAAAATGGTCGAAAGTAAGTTGTGTTCAATATTTTGCAAACTAAAAAAAATTTAGGCGACGATAAGACGGCTGGAGCCCGCCAAATGCATTTGCAAAGCATCAATCAAGTTGTGGCTTTTGTTCAACACAATTATCGCTGGTTTAGATGCTTCAATACTCTGAGTCTGTCTCGACATGCCGAAGGAAGATGTTAGTTGAACATTTCGGGGAGGTTGTTTGATAAGCATCGACAATTTAAATAATCATTGCTTAGGTATATGACGCGGCAGCGTGCGCTTCTTCTACTACTCCATGTGATGTATGCGAACAGTTAAGCAGGGACCCAAATCGTTACAAAATGTATGATGTATCAGACGAAGCAACAAGAATTTTGAAGGTCACTTGTTTACAGCGAATTTATAATAACTTAAACCGAAAGATAAAATACTCTTAATTATTACTGATTTAGACCCTGTCCAAAATGAAAGCAATGACGGTGACACAAATTGCGCAGATTTATCGTGGAGTCGGACAAACACGAGGAAAAAGGGCTAGAGATGAATCCAATGGTGATTCGGTATTTATATAATTTGTTGCGACTTATTTAATGATTCAGAGTTCGTATGCGTCGAGTAGCACTTCTGAGTTTGTAAAGCTGCCAATATATGGAAGAGGAAAGACAATGAGTGAAAACGATGTACTTCGCTTCATACATTCCATGATTTTTGAAGGGTTTGTAAAAACAAAAGCGTGTGTGATTTTTTTTAGGTATCTATATGATCGACTTTACGCTACGAGGATGGGATCAACGGTAGCATATACAGATTTGACTTCCAAAGGACGCGCTGTAGCTAATGGCTCGTATAATGCAAAGGTGGGTTCGTTTTTAAAGTTCGCTTAAGCCACGTTTTTTAGATTTATATGCATTTTGCACAAGATGATGAAAACAAAAAGCAAAAGTCTAAACGTGAAGCTGAAAATGAAATCAATATGGTTTTAGTTAGCGAAGCGGAAGTATTAAAGGAAAAGTAAGATTGAATTTAGCAGACTTCCTAAAAACGGTTTTTAGGTATATGATTAAACATAGTGACATTTTTGTTCGTTGTTTGAAAGCTTTGCGCGAAATACTTGAACAATTGGCTGTCGAGATGAATATTTCCAGTTCGGCAAATATAATGTCTCACGAAGGATTGGAACAGGTGATTATTGTATATGTTGTACCTTTTATTAACATTTTTTATATGGAGTGTTTGAAGAACGTTAATGGTTTAGCTTGCAGCTGTAATGCCACGCACCAATACGGAACTTCTCAAAATTGATTCGATGAATGAACTCAAGGTTGTTGTTTTATGATCCTCTTTTAATCATTTTCTAGGTCTCAAGGTATGGTGGAAGAATTATGGAAACGCTCAAGCCTTTCTGGAATGAAGTCGATGGTGTGTTTAATTTTCTCAGATCTATAAACATATTTGTTCTTAAAGCGCGTGAGCAACGCGACATTCAGGATCAACTGGATGGAATGAAAAATGGCCAAGTGGTGCCAGGAGGCTTTAAATCACCACCAAAAACTGAGGTTTTGTAACTTAACATTATACGCAGTTGCAAGTCGTTGATTTTAGATGGGGCCTTCACAAAGAGGCAGAGGAGGCTTTCGAGGGAGATACCAAAGAGGATACCACAGAGGACGAGGTCGTGGCACATCAAAGGGAGTCGCGTCACAAGCTCCAAGGTGTCTTTTTATCATTTCTTGTTTTTTTTATAATTTTTTAGGCAGAGCACACCAAAAAGAAAGAGTACGAGAGGTTACAATCCAGCCTTTTTTCCTAAGTAGAATTTGTATCTAACTTCATTAACTTTGACGAGTAATTGACATAAAATCATTATGCTTTTTCCCTGTTGATTTTTTATATGATTTATTGCGTTTCTTCTACAATTAGATTACAAAAAAAATCACACACATTTACGCACTTATGGAGGGTATTCATAGTTTTGATTTCTTTGGCAAATGTGCAATCGCTTCTATTTCCACACAAGCATCCATTGGTAATTTGGCCACCTAATTGTAAGCATTGGAATTGGCTTTGAAAATCATGCTTTGATGAACTAAACCTGATATGCGGCTCTAGCAGGCGGGTTGTTGGAGAAGAACTTTTTGTAAATAAGATTCATCGAGGGAGCAGATTTGATGTCGGCCAACCATACGCTTACTTTGACAACTAAAAAGGTGGCATGAAAATTGAAGATGGATCAGATTTTTGATACCATTTTCCATCGTAGCTCCAACTTCGTGTAGAATTGACTCGATGTGCCTCAAAGCGAGTTCCACTTGTCTCTCAACAGTTTTTCCGAGATCCTAAGCTGTTATCTCTACACATACTCTTATGAGGTTAAAATTTTTGATTTTTAGAAGCTGAAGTGGGAATCTTTAGAACTTACCCCATTTGACTCGCGTCCAACTTGTCCAGAAACGAAAATGAAATCACCGGCTTGAATTGCTTGGCTGAATTGTTTTCTATGAAAGCTGAAAATTTCTCTCAAACCTCAACGGGGCGCTAATCGACGGCACTTTTGACGAGTTAATAACGCGTTTCATTTTACAAATCAAACAAAATGGTACAAGAACGAAAAGAGAATTGTTTTTCCGAGCTCTCTTTCTCTCTAGTTGCTCGCTGTTTGTTCTTTCTTTCGTAAATGATAAGGGTTAATCGATTTTTTTTTTAGTGATATGAAAGATTTTTATTGGAAAGACAATTGAATCGTTGAACATCGGTGAAATTATGTCGAGATGTAGGCAGAGAAAAGCTCTTGAGACGGTGCGATTTGAGTGGTTGAGACGAGACAGACCACTCGCATCAGATTTCCTCCATCTCCACGGGAAACGTAGGGAAGAAATCTGCAATTCAATTCGAATATTTTCTTACGGCTTGTAAAAGCGGTTAATTTTTTTTATTCGTTTACGAAGTGGTAAACGATTAAAAAGTACTTTTACAGTAGATCTACAGTAGATTTTCGGACTTTTTCCTGTAATTTATTAAAGTACGCATATTGTCCACTACCTTCGCGTTTCAAATGGCCATCCTTGAAGATCGAGATCCATATATTGAACGTTATGACTTGTATTTGAAGCATTATTCACATATTGACCCAAATTGAGAAAAGAAAGCGGTCGATCGCTCATCCACGTCTCATCACATGTTTTCTCGCCGAGATCTCGTCGCGCACACGATGAGAAAACCCACTAAATTTATTTTCACACCCTTTTTTTGTACATTCAAACCTTGCTTAGACGAGAATCATTGCCGTCGATGAAAACCCCGTCCTTGCAGCGTAAAACGAACTGATTGCCGAGAGATGGTAGAAAGATTGAGTCACCCGGATGATAGATTGTGCCCGGGTACACGCAAACCACTCGTCCCGCTTGTATGAAGCCACGCTTTAGGAAAACACCTAAACTTTGATTTTGCGATAATCTCTCGATCTCAATCCCAATAATTTTAGAAAATGCATTTCTCTATTCACAAACCTCTTCCTGCTCGTTTTATTGTGCTCTCTTTTCTCTCCAACTCAAAGCCTAGCTCTTGATATAAAACCTAAAATGATTGATTTAATTTTTACGACTTTTTCTTAAACCTCTTTAAAATCTTTTTCTACATCAGGGTCTAGTCTTTGCTGGCCGAAATTGAGCTGAGGAAATTCTTTGGCTAATCGAAGAAAGATCGAGAGTAGTTGAGCGTTGAGTTCAGAGGTTGAAAGCTGAAATTCTTGTATTCCAAAGATTTTCAGCTTCGTAGTTAACCTCCAAAGTTTTCGGCAAATTCGCGAGCTCGGTGACGGCAATCCTCGCGAATAACGATGGGACAAATCGATGCGAATACGAGTGAAGCAAATTCCGTACATATCCCATGGCTAGCAATCGAATAGACTTTCTCTTTCTTTTTTAATTCAAAAAATATTGAGCTCTAAATCGTAATGCGATCAAAACAACACTTATTCTAGAGGAAAATAATCCCATTTATTTCATATCACAAATCAATCACAACTCGTTTTCACAAACTCTAAACTTGCAAATGATTACTCGCTTTTGTCTTCGATCTCTCCAACCACAGCGATTGCTTCGATTTCGACGAGCGCTGCTTTTGGAAGAGCTGCCGCCTGGAAATACAATAGTTAAAATTGGTCTAAAAAAGTAAAGTAACTCTAAGAATTGAATAACTTTTATCTTCCGGTTTTTTCCTTTTCATAACAATATCCTACCTGGTAAGCAGCTCGGGCGGGGAAATTGCTCTTGAAGTACTCTTTGTAAATGTCGTTCACTGTCGCGAAATCATTGATATCCGCAAGAAGCACTGTTGTTTTGACAACTGAAACTTTTTATTTTGAAGTTCTGTCAAATTTCCCAAAAACAAACCATTTGTGTAATCGGCACCAGCAGCTTTGAGAACCTCGCCGATATTTCGGAGACTCTGATGTGTCTGCTCTTTGATTCCCTCAACAAGAGCCTAGAAAATTTAGTTCTTTAGCCATTTGCATTACATGAGTAGTTTCAAAATAATCAGGGTCCGGATCCACCAAATTATTTATCATTTAGCATTCACGGATTTACCATCTAGCAATTTTGCTAAACGGATTTAGAAGTTTAGCATTTAACAGCTTTACTAAATGCTAAATATCAAAACAATTTTGCTTATTTTTGCTAAATCCAAACTTGCTAAACGGACCCGTTAAATTTTGCAAAACGGAACCTTGCTAAATTTAGCAAAACTCGACCAAAAAAGTTTGGTGGGCCCAAAAATTTTGCTAAATTGAACAGCTGGTGGATTCGGGTCCAAGTGTAGGTTCATAAAATCTCCAAAAAACGAACGCCGGTTTCGGGGTTGAGGCCGATCGATCCCGAAAGGTACACAGTATTGTTGACGCGGACGGCTTGGCTAAAATTTCAACTTTTTCGTTATTAATAAGGAAAACTATTAAAATGTTCAAATCTCATTTAATTAAAGCACTAGATTACCTGTAGGGTCCAATAGCGGCCGGTGCTTTAGCTGTGTGAATGATCTGTCGAGTGATTGAGCCCATTTCCTCCTTTTCGCCCTCGGCTTCTTTCCCAACTTTTCTAAAATCAATTCTTATCGAGTTTTCAATAAATTTCCAAAGACTTTAACTTGCAAACAAATAAATGAAAGCACCCACACCAATTCTGGGTAATCAAATGAGTCGGACTCGCGTTTTCGCTTAAGAGTTGTCATTAGTGTGGAGATTTGAGAAAAATGCTCAAAAGTCAATACAATATCCACTACTAACACTTAAGCAATCGAAAGGAATCAATTTATTTGCAAATTTCCGAGAACTCTCGCATTAAAAGCGTAAAAAAGAGAGAAGATAAAAAACGAGTCGGACACATCAAGGTCGGCCTATAAAATGGCGACCAAGGAGAATGGCTTTCAATAGGGAAAATTTTTGCGAATTCCTTGAAAGCGTGTCCTAATCATTGTCAATCACTTGTCATTTCCAATATTGTTAATCGAATGTTAAGTTAATCGAATTCTAATGATGCAAATGATCAGAGATCGCTTAACATAAAATATCAACATGAGATGGATGTTATGAAATGGACCTTGTTTATTTTATTTTTAAAAGCACAAGCCAGCTTTTCTTCGATAGAAAGTTTCCAAAAAGAAGATATATTTACAAAAATACTATTAGAGTATTTGTTTTATTTAAATCTCTAAGTTGTATTACATTAGGGATACTTTCCGCACCAAATTACACAATTTTCCCTCCAGCTCTTCTGATAAGAAATGAGATCTCTGACAAGATTAAAATCTCGTAGTTTTAGCAAAAATTTTTGCCAAGAAATGGCTTAAAAAATTGTCTTTCCGTTTTGTTCTTTCGATACTCGTGTCCATCTTCATCATAAAGTAGCACTCCATCTCTCTGAGATAGCGACATCCCTAAATGAAAAAAGATGTTGAAAAAAAAAATTTTGCAGAAAAAAAAGAGTAAAAACTAGCTTAATCTATCTTATTACATTTATTTTAGATGAAAGAAACAAAGTTATTACCTTAAACAAGCAGAATTTCTTCGCAAACGATATTGTGTGAAAAGTGCCTGTGATTGTCGCTAGCCACGTTGAATCACTTGCAACGACCCTTCTATTCCTCCTGACGACGTTTTCTTATCTGAAAAAACACAAAATGAGGTACCAACAACAGTAAAGACAAGAAAAAACGATGAAAAACAAAATGTGCTGCATTGTTTATTTAAAATGGGCCATAAAACATGATGGTGATGATAAAAGAATCCGTCGGTTTGCCAAAACACGCGCAGGTTGCATAAAAATGTCTCTCAATTTGGCGCTATTTTTGTATGGGCGCTGTTTTGAACGGAGCTGTTTTAACGGCGCTATTTTGACTAGGCCCTATTACTCAAAAATACTTTTCACTTATATAACTTTTTCTAAAAGATATTCAGCCCGTTAATTGATTTGGTGAAAAATTCCCTTCAAATGTAAAAATATTCAGTTTACTCAACGTGTAAAGAGGATTACTCGTAGTTATTCGGTCAAAAACATCGATTAATCGAGTAAAATTCGGGGGTGGGACATTTTCGCACCTTTTTTTGTGCTGGAAAAGGCCTTAGGAAAGGCCGTAGAGCTTTAAAAATGTTTTCATATAAGGGAATCGTATGCGTAGATTCCGAATTTCGACAAATCAGAACTCGCTGACACGTTAAATTTGGACTAAAAGGCAAAACTACGCAACATAACGCTTTTCCGCAGTTTTTGCCTTTTAGCCCAAATTTGACGTGACAGCGAGTTCTAATTTGTCGAAATTCGGAATCTACACATACGATTCCCTTATATGAAAACATTTTTAAAGCTCTACGGCCTTTTCCAGCGAAAAAAGGTAGCATTTGTCCCACCCCCATAAAATTCACTGCAATTTACTCGAGTAATTACTTACTCACGGGGGAACACGCTTTAGACAAAATGCTCAGTGAAATCATAGTGAGAAGATAAGCAGCATTTCAAAGAAAAACTTCAGATAAAGTGCTGGTGAATGTAAAATTCAGTTTTTTCTGTTAAGTCAGCCTTTTATTAATACACATTAGCTTACGGTAATCTCTAACACCGATTTTACGGTAATCACTTTGATTCAACGCCCATTGTTGGGTTCGAGAAATCAAAAGTTCAAGCTTTCTGATCGTCATAGTGCACTCTGCTGTTTCTGTGATCTCCGGGGTTTCTGCCCAATGAACAAAAAAAATTCACGGAAACTCCCAATCTTGCGATAAGCGAGTCTGACGCCGCCAATTTTTCTCCCCGATTCTTGTTGCCGTTTCATTTATTTTTGCAAAAAAAAAATGAGGCGATTCAGTGTGTTTCTTATTTTTTCACTGCTAGTATGCTTGACATTGGCGACTCGAGAGAAGAAACTTGGCAGAAAAGTAAAAAAAACGAATTGGCAAAAAAGATTCAGCATTGAAAACGACACTTTAGAATCAGCCTAAGGATCGAAAAATGCGGCCTCACGTCGAGGGTTTCCTCGGTTGTCCGTACAATAACGATTTCTACTATAACGGAGTGATTGCCTCACCGTTGTATCCGAAAAATTACCCAAAAGATGATAAATGCTGGTACTACATGCAAGCCAAGCCAGGCTACGTGCTTAGGTTTTTAAAAGAAATTGGGTTACTTATAATGAGTGAGATTTTAGTTTTAACTTCACTCACTTCGATTTGGATACGCTCGATTTTGTGACGATCTACGATGGACCCAGTGATATTTCGCCGATTCTCGCGCAGTTCGTAGAATAGGCTAAACTTTGATAGAAATGAAATTTCAGAATTGGGGGTCCAAATGGAACCACTCAAACACCTAAAGGAATTTATTACTCATCGGAACGCCATGCGCTCGTCACATTCACTTCGAATCTCAAAAGTACCCCAAAGAGCGGGTTCTCGTTTGAGTATAAATCAGTCTTCAGTAAGTTTTGCGTTTATAGATTTCTAGGTACAGTAATCCATAAACCTTGAGTACAGTAAATCTGATTTAGCCTCTTATCCATGCAATCGAGACATCCTTTTGGGTATCAACGCGATGGGTGGACTCAAATCACAGGGCAATTACTTGAGGGTTAATCTTGAAAAAGAAATTTTGAACATAATAAGTCGTTCAGCAAATCAGTTTCATCGGAAACTATTTGGTAAAAAATTGGACAGTTGGTTTGGACCAAACACGAGTGTTCATCAATCTACAAGTTAGTTGTGCACATTTCTAAAAACAGAGTATTGCCAAAGTTTCGGAAAGAAAAAGAGCAAATTATTCAGACGGATGCAGATTATGCTTTGGTCTATCCAGCTACCGATCCCGAAATGACAACAACGGCCGGTGTACAAGAAGTGATCTTAAACCTGAGTGAATATGCCGACAATGTGAGTGTTTTATTGTAAACAACAGTGCAGAAGTGCAACAAATTCTTTTTAGGTTGTTGACAATGATACGGTAACGGATTTCAACGGGTATTTAATATAATAGAAGCAGAAAAAAAAAACAAAAAAAATTATAGAATGTTTCGCTATCTCGAGTCGGATATATCAATTGACCCAGCTGACAATGGAGAGCGGGCATATACTCAAAAAGTTGTCATCTTGTTTATCGCCTCTAATCCTAAGTACGGTAGCCGAGATAAAGAAAGTTCAATGTAAGATTTACATTTATCCATTCAGTGATGATCAAGATTATTACGAAGCACTCGAGTATGCGCATATAATGCGAACCACTGAAGACACAAAAGTATTTAATCGATTTGCACAAAATTTATCAATTTTTAGGTTATTACTGTCGCTATGGGTAGCGATTTGGATGTTGCGAAAATCGGTAAATTATCGTATGGAGAGGTTTGAACTAAAGCCCGATCATCTTACAAATGTTTCAGGGCTTTTATTTCGGAGCTGACTACTCAAATCTTCCATCTCTGACCGATAAGATAAATGCGGCCATTTGTGCAGATATTGATACAAAATGTGGAGTTTAAAAAAACATTTATATCGGATAAAAATATTGAACAGGCAAGCAAAAAGAAAACAATCACCAGTAGCACTAATGCACACGAAACATGAAGCTAAATATACATTGACTATTTGTATGTAATGTAGTGTCAATAGCAGAAGTGATTACGAGATTTTTCAGATTCACAGGACAAAACTTTAGGCACAAATATAAATAAACAAAGATGACTAACAGAAGATTTTAGAAACCAGTATATGAATGCATGTGCACATTATATCTCGACAAAAAGAACACCAAAGTGTATATTAGAGGCATTTAGGCACATTATATTATACCTGAAAGCGGGACGCTCAAACTATTACAAAGCGCGCTTATTCAGTTCTGGATACAGATTTCCAGGGTTGGCGTTGTGTGTTTCCGCACGAGCATGGTAGAATGACATGGCCGTTTGTGAAATGTTCCAACTGAATTATAAAAATATGAGTTCACTTAAAGAAAAAAATACCCGGCGGTCACTGTAGCAATGTACATCATGAAGAGAAAGCTCATCGGATAAAGGAAGAAATGAGTGTTTTTGAGATGTGGAAGTGCTAAAATAAAATAAATATAAATAGATCAGTTAATTTTAATTCATTCAAATACACCTAGGCACTCTAAATTCCAAAAATTACCTGTATATCCAAGGAATGTGATATAGACATAGTAAATTCCCGCTGAAAACCATACGGCATTGCCAAAAAATCGAGCCATAAAAGTTGGCGAATTGATCAACGCTAAAATACAATCACAGGAAAATATTTACGTTGTGAAAAAGAAACTCACGTGGATAAATTAGAGGCAGCAATACGTGGACGAGGATCAAAAACGGAAAGAATGCGTTTAGATGAACGTCAAAGCAATAACCCCATTCAACATCTTGATCATTCACTTTGCGTAACCATCGGTTGGAAATAAACCTAAATTAAACAAAATTATTAAAACAACTTTGTAACCCAAACCCTTATCTGTAATTAACATATTATAGCCTACCAAAGACATGTTGCTACGATAGCACCAGCGATTAAGCAATCAACCGCCACAACCCACAAGAAGAACTTGATGAAGCCCCACGTCGAGAGACCCAAACAAACCTTGAAAAGAATATAAAGCATATGGATTTTGAATTTACCGCATAGAGCACCGACGTAATCAACAACGAAGCAGCAAGAAGAACCAAAAAAGCTGGGTCATCACGGGCAAATTGATCCTTGGTCCCTAAAACAATAAACTATAACTATAACGTCAAAATAATCAACACAAACTTTTGCGGTAAAGAAAGTTTCGATAGACTTTCTGTGGCTGAACCAATAAATAAAGCATTTGCCAAGCAGCAAATTCAAAATCCATTTGCCTGAAGCGAACGAGACGCCGTGTGAATCTTGTAACCTAAAGATTTACTTTATAAAGATCACAATTAGATATTTACTTTTGCCCAAGCAGTCATTCTAACAGAAGCAAGACAGCCGACTCGATCAGCAGTTCTAAAGCGCAACAATTAAACGGAAGAACATTTAAAAACGAACCCAGCACTATAGTTTGAATAACCACCGGGTGATGTGTAACCGCTTCTATTGTACCTAGATTTAAATTAACGTAAATACTGTAATTATTGAAGGGAACCCTCCCCATACAAAATTGGTCGCCCAAAAAGTCATTACTTTTGAAAAAGAGTTTGGCTAAAACGTGCTTAGAATTATGTATATGGGCTGTAGGTATAACCTAGATGGGTTGCCAGTAAAGTTTGTCGAAAAAAAATTGTAAGGGCGACCCATATCATTTTCGAGAGTCTAGGGGTCAAGGCTGAAAAATTTTTCTTGTTTTAAACATGTTTTTCGTTCGTTTTAGAGCATTTTCAATCGAGCTAGAGTGATTTTAAAAGATTGTAAAAATATTTTATATAGTTCTCCCTTTTGTGATTTTTGGGGGAGTCCGAAAAAGGATAGAGAATAAAAAATAGAAGGGTATGCCCTTCAATATTTACGGTATATTCTTTTACAAAAACTCTAGAATACCTTGAATATTTATAACCACTTGGAGTTGCAGAGCCCGAGGGACCAGGAACGTTGCCTAAAACCGAACCTTTAATCTTTAAAAACAGAATCATTATCTGCCGAGCTTTTCACGGCGTTACCATAAAAGCCAGTAGGTCTGTAGTTTACTACAGCTTCTAAACCATTTTCTTTTGATGCCGTGAAAAGTACTTCAGATTTAAGCTTATAGCAGTGGAATGGGAGATTGTCGACAATGGTGGTAGGTCCGAAAAAACAAAAGCCCAGAACAGTTGAAACTTAAAAGTGAAAAGGCCGAAAACTTTTGTCACACCATAATTTTGAGGATTGTGAGACAAGACTCTAGTACGACAAAAGCTCCATGGTAGGAATCCCAATCACTATACCTCTTACGTATACTTGATCGGAAAAGCTAATTCTCTTCGCTTTCTTGCTTCCCAAATCTTTAGATTTCATTAGTTTAGTATCTTGAACAAAATTGTCTTGAAAACACTAAACGTGAGTTATTAAATAAAAACTCTTACCTGAAATTTGCCTTGTATATATTGTTTCCATTCAAACAATTGCAAAATTAGCTCGCCTTCTTTATAGTGAGCAAAATAGCGATCTAAAAATGTACATAAACAAAACAGCCGATCCCTTCAAAACCGTAGGTAACAAGAGTTAAAACTTGGCAGAGAATTGGATTCATTTGAAAATAGGTTTATTCATAACAAGAGAAAAAAAATAACGATGATAAATAGTTTCACAGTGCGACCGATAGAGAAGAAACAACCTAAAGCATTTGCTGTATGTAAAAAAGAATGTCAAACTCACTGTATAACCATAAATTAAGTCGATAACAGAATAAAGCTTATCACAGACGAGAAACGAAATAGGTAACCTAAAACAAAAACATTTAATTTTTAATGTTTAAATAACCTTTGGCTTCATTGTGATTTTTGATTCGCGACGATGTAGTGGTATAACACAACCAAAACGAAAACACCAATGCCGATGATGTTCGCAGCAATGCCAAGTTGAACGTCCGTTATCATTTCTAAAAAATCAAAATGTTTGAAAATTTATAAAAACAAAAAACAACAAGGAAATCAACAACATAAACGATTTCAGAATCTTTATTGCGAGTGGACAATCCAGCATGTCAAAATTTTGCCTGCGTAGGTCTTAGCTGTGTATCGATTATGGCTCATTGCCAAGACGGAGGCTCTCGCACGTTATACATCCATGTCAATCTATTTCTATTGCTTTTAAACTTTAAACTTAAACAAGATTGCTTTTGATTTCTTTACAAATTTGGGGGGTGGGACAAATGCGACCTTTTTTCTGCGCACCTGGACATTTGCGCACCTTTTTTCGCTGGAAAAGGCCTTAGGAAAGGTCGTAGAGCTTCAAAAATGTTTTCATATAAGGGAATCGTCTGCGTAGATTCCGGATTTCGACAAATCAGAACTCGCTGACACGTAAAATTTGTCGAAATTCGGAAAATTGAAGCTCTAAAGCCTTTTCCAGCGAAAAAAACGTGCGCAAAAGTCCAGGTGCACAAAAAAAGGTAGCATTTGTCCCACTCCCACAAATTTTAAAAGGAGAAGCGTATAACCTCGTAAAGACTAGATACTTTCATATTCTTCAAATTTCAATGCATTAAGGCGCGCCTAGTGGGGAAGACATAAATCCTTTTTCTAACACTCGCAAAAGTTGATACTGTCTTTATTCAAGGCACTAAAAGTTTAAAAAGCAATCGGACAAACGAGGGAGGGCCCAAAAACCGCAATTTTTTTTCCGCAACTTTGATAGCTTGACAAGCCGTGGTTAGATTTCTATGTTTTGGTGCCATTTGTTGCTCTCATCAAGTGCAATAAGTTGGTACCAAAAACATAAAAATCTGACTATAGGTTATCGAGTTCTGTCGAGTTATAGAAAGTTGCGGAAATGCCCTTTTGCGGAAAAAGATTTGCAGTTTTTGGGTCGTCCCACAAACGACCCAGAAAACTTTTTTTTCGCAAATGATTCGATTTCGCCATTCAATTTTGAAATTTTTTGTTTCTATGCAAATTTCTTCTATAAATGCTAATTTCTAAGCACAATTTTTAGAAACATGTCTCATTCTATTAATGGGGCGGACAACCAAGCAAATTCGAGCGAAGACATTCCGTTAGCAGATGAATGTGAGTAATGAAGTAAAGGCCTTGAGGATTGTGGAAACGACAGAGTTATCTATGAGGAAATTTAGTTGACGATACCACAATCATCTCGGGTAGGACACCGAGACCTGCCCAGCCATTACCCCGTGAAGAGCCCCCTGAAGATCCCGAGGAAAAAGCCCGGATAATTTCTCAAGTTCTCGAACTTCAAAGTACACTAGATGGTTTGTATAAGATATCGTAAAAGTAGGAAGAAACAATTTAGATCTCAGTCAAAGAGTGGACTCGGTGAAGGAGGAAAGTCTGAGGTTGCGTAGCGAAAATCAAGTAAGAAAAGATTGAAGTGTCGAGCGTAAAAAGTCGATACTGCAAATGAGAACTATTGATATCAATTTAGGTCTTGGGTCAATATATTCAAAACCTGATGGGTAGCAGTTCGGTCTTTCAATCAAGTCATCCAAAGAATTCGGCGCACAAGTGAATCCTTTTTTTTCTCTCGTTAATCAATTTTCCCCGAATTAATTGCAAGTTTATCTAGTCAATCCCCCTCTGCATAATCAGATATACCGTATTTTCTGTAATAGTAGTGCGCACTACTATTTTTTCAACCCCCCCTCCTGCCTGCACTACTATTACAGACTGTACTACTATTATAGACTGCACTACTATTACAGAAAATACGGTAATCACTTTTCCATAATTCTAATCAGATCTCACAAATATTTGCATTCTTGCCAAAATCCCTGAATTTCTAGTCACTTTCACTAATACAAGAATAAATCAATTTTTATCCCATTAATTTACAGCATTGAGAAATTGCATAACTTTTATAATTGCATAATAACCAATCCAGCTTTGTTTTTTTTTGGGTTTACGTGTTGTCTGCATGATTGTATTGTGAACTTTAGAAACGAGATGTTTGAAGCTTTCTTTTGGTAAAACGATTCAAAAGCGAGTGGATTCGATCTGGAAAATTTTCAGAGCTCAATTTCTAATTCTTTCATTTAAATGTATATATTGCTTGAATTGCTTGAATAACGCTTTGTTTTCAAAAAATTGTGAGTAAACAACAATCAAATTACATACATACATTACATACACGGCATTTTCTCAAGACAATTAATCAGAGTTGTTTCGTTGGAGTTTGTAGATTATATTTGTAGATTATGACTGTTTGAATTCATTTTTTTTTATTACCACAATCAACTTTATTACCACAACTTTAAATGTTTTTTTTTTAAAGAATATATACAATATTTTGAGCTTATAGTCATTGTAAAAACTTTAAATTCATTGTAAACTTAATTTCATCTCTTCAATTACAGAGTATAATTTTGTCTTTACAGAGATCTCAGCAATTAGTTCAATACAATTTCTAGACACTAATCCTTTTTCTTTGATCACTTTATACTTTTCAAACATGTTTTTTATGGAGGAGTGGTGAGTGTATGTGGAGAGGAGAGCCTAGAGAAAAATAAGCATTGGGTGGTCGTCCCTTTACTGGACCACTCGTCAATCGATATTTTCTGTGCTCTGCCACAGCGCTATCCCCCAACATACAACGGAAAGAGCGCGTGATAGAGCCAGGCAAAGACGGCAAAGCACACTCTGACTGTCTACGCTTCTCTGCGTCTCGTTCGCCCTTCAATGTTTATCGATCTCTCGCGTTAGCTCTCTGAGCGTTTCCCGCTATCTCAACTTGACATTATTCTTTTAAATTTAACAAATGTCTTCAATTTTTATGTTTTCCTTTGTTGAGACTTTTTTTAAATGATTTAGGAATGTCAGGCGTGATGGAGTTCCCAATGGTACGCGTGAGAGAGTGCTCCAAGCCACCAGTTCGAGGGAAAACCTCACCTTATGGATTCTTTGTGAAGATGTGCTATGAAGAACACAAGAAGAAATATCCTAATGAGAATGTTCAAGTGACAGAGATCTCAAAGAAATGCTCAGAGAAATGGAAGGTGAGTCTTAAAGCATTTTCTTGTATTGAAGTCTTGAAGTTCAATGAATATGTTGGCATTGATTATAAATATGAAAACTCAGATATTATAGAATTGACATTATAGAAGACATTTAAAATCTAAAATACTTGTTTAAAACACAATAAAAACTTGTTTTCAGACGATGAGTGACGATGAGAAGCGACGCTTTTATGAGCTTGCCCAGAAAGACGCTGAGCGATATCAAGCTGAGGTATACAAAGTGAATGAATCAATCTTAAAAATATTTTGTTTCAGGTCGCTGCTTATGGAGGAGAGGATTCGATTAGAAAAAGAAAACGAGCAAAAAAGGATCCAAATGCTCCAAAAAGAGCATTATCGGCTTTCTTTTTCTTTTCACAAGATAAACGCCCCGAAGTTCAAGCCACACATACCGAATGGAAAGTGATGCAAGGTGAGTATCAAGGCAAAACAAAAGTTTATCCAATTCATTTCTACATTCAGATATCAATTGATGATTTTAGTTGTTGTAAGAAACTTTTGGAAGAATTTAGCAGAGAACTCTAGAGTTTAAGCGTTCTTTAATCAGTGATTGGATAAAGAATGTGTATTAAACTGTGGAATATCTATATATCTATTTTTTTTTCTAATTTTAGTTGCCCAAGAGCTTGGCCGAATGTGGAAAGACATGAGTCCAGAACAAAAAGAGATCTATGAACGACGTGCCCAAGCCGATAAGGAACGCTATAGTGAGGTAGAAGAGCTTGAACACACAAGTTTGAACTAGTTTTGAGTGTACTAAAAAGATATTCTTTTTAATACACTCAAAACTAGTCTAATTTATAAATTTGACTAAATTTGACTATAATAAAGCCTAACGATGAGATTTCATTGTCAAAATCATTGACAATGAGACTTCAAAATCGCATCAAACAAAATTCTAGGAAATGGGAACGTATAAAGCGGCAGTTGGTCAAGGCAATCAAATCGACGATCAGGATCCCCATGTGGTCAGTTATAATGCATTCAAAAATATATATTTTACGTCCGAATCCGAATCCGATCCGAATTTGATGCATTTTTGCAATAATATTAAGCATCAATGGTTGCGGGTTTGATCCCCGATGCTGTTTTTTATATAGGAACAGTACTCCATTGATTACTGAAGATGTCAATGAGTAATACTAGAAGAATTGAACAGCTACAAGGAATACCATTAAAGTAAAGGATCATCTGCTTTTCAAAACTACGTTTAGCAATCCTAGAACTAGACTTGCTGTAGATTGTGTTGGAGTTGTTTTGTACTTGATTAATTGTTTTTTCTGTGGAATCTTTAGGAGCATTGTCATTAGTATCATAGTTGCTGAGTGAAAAACATCAAAATAAAAAAGGCAAAAGAAATTTACAGCACCGGGGACTAGAAGAATTGAACAGCTACAAGAAATACCTGTAAGTGTGACCTAGTCGTTTCTCTCTAATCAGTATCTTCTTGCATCTTGCATCTTGCATGTGATCGGATCCAAACTGAATCCGAAATGGTCGTCTGATCGGATTCGAACGTAACCTATAGATGATTCCAATATAATTCAAAAATATAGTCATTTACGAAGAAAAAAAACCTATAAATTTAGTACGTGGAACATCAACCCATGCATCAAATGGCTTCGCAAGGTCATCACCCTTAAATAATCACTCAGTTCTTCTCTCATCATCATTTTTTTTATTGTATTTAATTTTATTGTCACTCATTGTCATTGTTTTTCTCTCCTCATGCACCTTTTATGTATGAATATTACAAATATCATATTATGTGTGAAGTTCTCATTCTGTTAGCTCCCAATGTGGAAATTATCGTTTAGAAAAGTTTTCAGGGACTATAAATTCGCACTTTACTTTTTCTTAACTCGTAAAATACTTCATTGATCTATAAAAATTGAATAATTGTACAGAAGTGTTCTTTTGTGTTTCGAGAGCATACTCTAAAACTCTAATATTCGATATTCGATATCGATATTCAGAAAATTAAATGACAAAATCCAAAAAATCTCTTTTACATTTCATCAAATTTCTTTTCGATTTGTAATTGAGATTTTTCGAGTATCGCATAGTCTCGTTACTTTTATATTCATTTACTTTACTAGTTAAAAGACCAAATAAATTTTGGGAAACTACGGCTTCAGACCTTCCTTATCACACCGAATAAACATAGAAACGCATAGAAAATTCACAAAAACTGTTTGACAGTTTTTTCTCACCCGTGAATGATTGACTCGTAAGATAAGAGGACATAAACCGTTAAATGCAAACTTTTTGCCATACGAGACGAGAATGAAAATTGATTTCTGTGGATTGAATATCTTAAAGCTTTCACCAAAAAGTTTAAAAAATGAGGGTGGGACAAATGCGACCTTTTTTTTTGCTGGAAAAGGCCTTAGGCAAGGCCTTAGAGCCTCGAAAATATTTCCATATAAGGGAATCGTATGCGTAGATTCGGAATTTCGACAAATCAGACCTCGCTGCCACGTCAAATTTGGGCTAAAAGGCAAAAACTGCGGAAAAGCGTTATGTTGCGTAGTTTTTGCCTTTTAGCCCAAATTTGACGTGTCAGCGAGGTCTGATTTGTCGAAATTCGGAATCTACGCATACGACTCCCTTATGTGGAAATATTTTCGAAGCTCTACGGCCTTGCCTAAGGCCTTTTCCAGCAAAAAAAAAGGTGCGCAAATGTCCAGGTGCGCAAAAAAAAGGTCGCATTTGTCCCACCCCCAAAAAATGGCACTTTCATGGTGAAATTTATGTTTATGATGAAAGTTTGACCATAAAATTTCATTTTCTCTTTTCTACTCGATGTTTTTTTAATAAACTCAAACTGCATTATTTTTCTGAGCCAAAATTCACGGTTGGAGTCTACACAAAAGAGGAATCACTTTGGCGAGAAAAAAAAGAGAACGTTTTGGGACAATCTACAAACATTTTCCGTTTCTTTTGCACTAAATTTTATTTTTCGATGAGGCCATCCTTTTCCAAAATGTGAAAATACCTGTTACATCATGCTTGCACTGACAATTTAGTTTATTAGAATGCTTACACAAGAAAGAGCAAATTTTAGATTTTATAAAGAGAGAAATTGTGTGTCTTTTTTCTCATTTAGCCATTTTCAATTCGTTATATTCATTTCATTTATTTTTGCTACTCAAATTGCTCAAATTGCACGAAAATTCTTTTACAAATCTAATAATTTGACTTGTCCATTGTATAACCTTATTTTTGGTAGATGAATTTGAGTATGTACAAAAAGCCCTATATGAAAATAATTTATAAAAGCCTTTTCCACAAGAGAGCTTTGTAAAAATCAAACGTTGTCTAACAATAAGATAAATTTTAACATGTGCTTTCTCTGTATCAGTTCCAAACTAAACACCGTTCATTTTCTTGACTTTGGCCAGGCATTTTGACTTGATCCAAAAATTCGTGAGATTTCTCTTCACGAAGTTTCTTGGCGGTAGTAGTATTGTGTACGGAATCCACTTTATTTTTTTGCGGTATGTGCTTTTCCTGGGTTAATTTGATAGTAGGAGTCCGTACACTATACTATGCCAAGTGGGGTCTGTACAATATGCTAGTATCGCTGTTTTTATATAACAATTTAGTTTATCGGTGGTAAATCAAAAACTTGAGGCAAAAATATGGCGGTGGTTCCTAAAGAACGAAAGAAGGTAAAAGACATTTTATTTTAACAATGTAAGCTTTTTAGGTCACGGCTCTCCTCGAAGCTGAAGCCCGAATTCAAGAAAAATGGGAAAACTCGAAGGCTTTTGAGTGTGATGCACCTGACAAGTATTTTTTGGATCTTTTTCGATAATTGGAAATGTTTTAGCAAATCGGAGAAGTACTTGACAACGTTTCCATATCCCTATATGAACGGTCGTCTTCATTTGGGGCATACGTTCACTATCTCGAAATGTGAGGTAAGGATTAGAGATCGTTAAGGTTTAATCATTTTTAACGTAATCATTTAGTTTTCTGTTGGTTATCAACGCATGATTGGAAAGAAGTGCTTATTTCCCTTTGGTTTTCATTGCACCGGAATGCCTATCAAGGTATATTGCAATCAAAGTTATGATAAATAAAACGATTTAGGCGTGTGCTGATAAGCTGAAGCGAGAAATGGAGGATTACGGCTTTCCACCCAACTTTCCTACTATCGAAGAGGAAGAAGTCGTTGAGAAAAATGCAATCGACGAGATTACAAAGGACAAAAGCAAGGGTAAAAAGGTGAGACTCACTTATTTGTTCTATTATTCTTTACTCTTTTAGAGCAAAGCGGTGGCAAAACAAGGAGCTGGAAAGTATCAATGGCAGATCATGAAGTCATTGGGATTAAACGATGACGAAATTGTTCAGGTGACTAAATAAAAGCTAAAGGTTTAACTTATCTTTTTAGTTTGCTGATGCAAATTATTGGCTCGATTATTTTCCACCACATTGTATTGCTGATTTGAAGAAAATGGGCTTGAAGGTTTGATAAAGTGCTCGCGAACAAAAAAATACGAAAGGTTTTAGGTAGATTGGAGGCGTTCTTTTATTACCACTGATGCGAATCCTTATTATGATTCGTTTGTGCGATGGCAATTTATGCGGCTTCATGAGGCCAAGAAGATCGACTTTGGCAAAAGGTATTCTTATTTCATTTTCCTAAGTGCTCATTTAAATTTTAGATACTCGGTATACTCTCCCAAAGATGGGCAGCCTTGTATGGACCACGATCGTGCTTCGGGTGAAGGTGTTGGACCCCAAGAGTACACGTTGATTAAATTGAAAGTTGGTTTTAGGAGTTTAATATTCTTCCTTATAAAAAATGTCGTTTATAACTTATAGAAAAACAAATTTGAATGTTTAGGTGGTTTCGCCGGTACCAAAGATCCTGCAGAAGATTACCGTCCCAATTTACCTTGTTGCCGCTACACTTCGACCAGAAACAATGTTGTTTTTATTGTTTAAACGTTTAATCAAAATAATTTTAGGTATGGCCAAACAAATTGCTATTTGCATCCGGATATTGCTTACTCGGCATTTTATGCTGGACCCGAAGAAAATCATGTCTTTATTGCGACAGCACGGTGGGTTATTTTTTATGCATCTTCTATCATTGTTTTATTAGATCAGCAAGGAATATGTCCTACCAAAATCTCACGGCTAAATTTGGTGAAATCAAATTTGTTGAAGGACTCGAGAAGGTTGACTAGTCTTTTGAGTTGGATTTTAGCAGCTTTTTAGGTTTTTGGACGCGATATATTGGGAGCTGGTCTAGAGGCACCCTTGGCTCACTATCCAAAAGTCTATGCACTGCCTATGCTTACAATTAAAGACGATAAAGGTATTGAGTGAATTGCATTTCAGCGGATATCTTTTTTTTCAGGCACGGGTGTTGTGACATCGGTACCCTCGGATTCTCCTGATGATTTTGCTGCGCTCGGTGACTTGAAAAAGAAAAAGCCTCTACGAGAGAAATATGGCATTACGGATGAGATGGTCTTGCCGTTTGAGCCGGTTACTAGATAATCTTTTAACTGAATCTATTTTTCTTTTAGGTACCGATTATAGAAATTGAAGGACTTGGGAATTTGGCGGCGAAAGAAATTTGTGAACGGCTGAAGGTATACCTTTCTTACGCTTTCTTAAATAAGCCATATTCTAATTGCAGATTGAGAGTCAAAACGAGAAAGATAAGCTTGAGGAAGCCAAGAAAGAAGTTTATCTCAAGGGATTTTATGATGGGGTAGATATTTTATAGCTTCAGGAAACGGTTAATTTAGGTGATGCTAGTTGGTGCCTACAAGGGCGAAAAGACTTCTGTGGCAAAACCAAAGATTCAAGTAAGATCAGAAACCCCATTTCCTCAACTTCTTCAAATTATATTTTTTAAATTTAATTTTTTTAATTTTAAGGCAGAATTGATCTCATCTGGGCAAGCGGACAAATATGTTGAACCGGAAAAGAAAGTGATTTCTCGAAGTGGAGATGAATGTGTTGTTGCTCTATGTGATCAATGGTATTTGAATTACGGAGAGCCAGAGTGGAAATTGGAAGCCAAAAAAGCACTTGCACAAATGAATACCTATTCGGATGAGGTTTTTGATGTAAATTTGCCATTTTATAGTCTCTTTAAGGTTCGAAGAAGCTTTGAGTACACGATTGATTGGCTTCACGAATATGCATGCTCAAGAAGTTATGGCTTAGGTTTTTTATAAAAACTAGTATTTTAGCTAATTGGTTGTTGTTTAGGAACTCGGCTACCATGGGACGAGCAATGGTTGATTGAATCTCTCTCCGATTCAACTATTTACAATTCTTACTACTCGGTGGCGCACTTATTGCAAGGTGGATCCCTGAATGGAGCTGTCCCAGGGCCACTTGGCATCAGGTAGGCAGTGATTCTACTAACGGATCAGCGTAAATTAATTTTTGAGCTATTTTTATTATTTACGATTGTTTAGCGCGAAGAGCATGACACCAGAAACTTGGGATTATATCTATCTTGGACACAAGTACGACGCTTCGAAAATGCCTGTCTCAGAAGAAAAGCTTAAGGCTTTGCGCAAAGAATTTTTGTTTTGGTAAGATTGGTTTTGGTACTTTGAAAATTAAGCTCTCCTTTAGGTATCCGATTGATATGCGTGTTTCCGGCAAGGATCTAGTGACAAACCATCTTACTTATTTACTCTTCATTCACACTGCCATTTGGAAGGTTGTTTGTTTTGGCTTATTTATAATACGAAAATTTAGGATCAACCCCAATTTTGGCCGAAGAGTGTTCGAGCCAACGGACATTTGTTGATAAACAATGAAAAAGTATTAGTTGCTTTTGATTAACCACCCAAAATCGATTCAGATGTCGAAAAGCACCGGGAATTTCTTGACACTTACGGAAAGTATTGAGCGTTTTTCTGCCGATGGTATGCGCTTTTCATTGGCCGATGCTGGGGATGGTGTCGAAGACGCTAACTTTGTGTTTACAATGTCTGATGCTGCAATTCTGAGGCTTTACAACATGTTAGAATGGGTATACTTTTTAAATTGCACATCTTGTTGGTTGGCATTCGACATATATTTGTTTCACTATCTAGATCCAAGAGATGATCTCGCTGCGCAAAGATAAAAGCTTCCGTAAGACGAACGCAAATCGTTTCTGTGACAAGGTAACACATTAAGTTTACTGTTTTAATTACAAAGTTTTTAGGTGTTTGCAAACGAAATGAACAAATTGGTCAATGAGACTGCTCAACATTATGAGAAAACTAATTTCAAGGAGGCCTTACTGAGTGGTTTCTTCCAATATCAGGTAAAAAAATACGGTAGCTGAGTTCTTAAAGTTATAAACTAGTTTAGGCTGCTCGTGATCAATATCGTGATGTTTGTGGTGGTGATTTGGAAATGAATGAAGATCTAGTGTTTCGGTAAGCAGCGTAGAACTAAATGACTATGATTGCTGTTAAGATTTATTGAAACGCAAGCATTGATTCTGTCTCCAATTTGCCCGCACATAGGAGAACAGATCTGGGAACTCCTTGGAAAGGTAATAACAAACACTTTTGCCATTTCTATGAACTTTAGGAAAAAATGATCGTAAACGAATTATGGCCAAAGACGGAGCCTGTCGATGAGCAGGGTAGAATTTTATCTATAATTTTTACCAGACTTGTTTAGTTCTCAAAGAGTGGGCCTTCTTCGAAGAAGCAGTTCGAGGCTTCCGACTCAAGTTAATAGCTTACATGAATCCCAAAAAGAAAGGAGTTCCTCTGCCAGAAGCACCAACAATCGCAGTAAGATCGTTAACATTTTTGCTGACTAGAACGATGCTTTTAGACAATTTATGTTGCTAAAGAATATCCTGGATGGCAACGATCAGTGCTTGAAATTCTAAACCAGCAATATCAGGTACAAAGATTTAAATATAGTTAATTCTCAATGTTTTGAAGGCCAACAATAATCAGCTCCCCGACAACAAAATAATTTCTGGAATCATTGCCAAGGTATTTGCTTATCTGTATTTACGCATTTATTGGATGAGTTTTTTAGGATGAAGCTTTGAAAAAGCATGGAAAGAAAACAATGCCATTTGTTCAAATGATGCGAGAGCTTTTTGAGAAGAAAGGCGTCTCAGCTTTTGCCATTCAGTCACCTTTTGATCAAGCTCATGTGATTCAGCAAAATATCGATTATCTCTTGAACTCGCTCGATCTTGACAAGGCGAGTAACACATTAAAAGTTTTCAATGGACTTAATTTTAGATCTTGATTCAACACACTGATGAGGAAGGACTTGACCCAACAATCGTCGAAGCCGTTTGCCCTGGATCGCCATTAATAGTCTACATCGCAGATCCGGTATTTTAAGGTCAGACGTGTGCATTAAAATCATTTTAGGAAGGAGTTACTGTTGAAGCGCGTAACGCCGAGATATGCAACGGTCTTTTCTCTACCCTTGTTCGAGTGACGGAGGATGAGACGGTTACTGGCTTGATCAGAAAATTGAGAAGAGCTAATCGAGCTATTAAACGTGAGGAATATGCGTTTGAAATTTTCTATTTTTACTGTTTAGCTCGGTTTGATATTAAACTTTATCGTTTTACCGATCAAGAACTGGGAGATCGTTCAATGGGCGATTGTAGGAGCCCATACAATGGCAAGGACTTGATTTCAGAAAATGGTTTGATAGTGTTTAGGACATTATAATTTATTTTTTTTAGCTATTTTTTCAATTGATATTCCGGCTCGTTGTGCTTATATAAAGATTGATGGGCAAAAGGTTATAATATCGTAAAGTAATCAATATTTCTCTCATTTAGATTCCAATCGGACGTTCGATTGTTTATCAAGCTTGTCAAAATGAATGTGCATGAACGATGTTTTTTGTTGATTGTTGACTTTGTTGGCTTTAGGTTTTATTTGTTTGTCATCAATAAATATTTTATTTCAAAAGTTGTTACACAATCTTGGCAATGTTTTCATTTGATTCCGTTCCGTATTTTGTAATACGTAATACGATAGAGTAGTACATTAGTCAAACGTCGCATTCCTCTTTTTAAGAATTAATAATTTACTGTATTTATTGAAAACAACAATTGTGCTGTTAAGATGATATCAGACAATTTGGAAAGGCCTGGACCCTCGAATGCTAAAAGTAGCCCAAGATGTCAGCTATCGAATGTTTCACTTATGCAAACGGTAATCTCCTCTTCGACGGGGGCCATTTGTACATCGCTTTTAAGTGGGTTTGCTAAGAGCTGAATTATTTGATAGAGTTAACTGTTGAAAGTAAACCTACATATTATTGATGTACATAATTTCCGGTTTTTCAGTGACACCAATGGATGTAGTGAAGATTCGAATTCAACAGCAAGCCAAACCGATTACAAAGGTATACATTTTGATTAATCAGTTTCATATGTAGTTTAGGGTGAATGCTTTCTCTACAATAACGGTTTGATGGAACATTTTTGTACGGCTTGTGCAGAGCCAAAAAAAAATTTGCCCTGCGAATGGTATCAACGACCGAGTCATTTTACTGGAACTTTTGTAAGTCTCACGTGTTTTTAGAATTTTTATCTCATTGTAGGATGCCTTCATCAAAATCGCTAGGAACGAAGGAGTTCGATCTCTTTGGAGCGGTTTATCACCTACTTTGTAAGTCGATCATGAAAACAATCATTTATTTTGTTTAGAGTGATGGCTGTTCCTTCTACGGTATTTTACTTCTCGGTTTATGATTTTTTGCATTCCCATCTTAAAGAGTACTGTGTAAAACGAGCGGAATGGGTAGCTCCCATGGTTGCTGGTGCTTTTGCAAGAACTATAGGTAACGTTGAACTACAAAAAGTGATACTAATTTTGGGAGGAGTTTAGCAGGCACTGTTGTTTCTCCATTGGAAATGATTAGGACAAAGATGCAAAGTGAAATGATGAGCTATAAAGGTAAGATATTGTAATTTTATTTATTTGATAGCAATGTTCTTATTTTAAGATGTTGGTTCTGCTATCCGAACTTCTGTGTTAACATACGGATGGAGGGGATTTTATCTAGGATGGGCGCCAACTCTTTGGAGAGATGTGCCATTTTCAGGTGCATGCCTAATTATTAGTTTCATATTTTTCAAAAATTTTTAGCTATATATTGGGCATGTGTCGAGACATTTCGAAAACGATTAATCGTTTGGAGAGGACGAACTGAAACCAATTTCGGAATTAGTGCAACAGCTGCCGCTGCTTCCGGAATCGTTGCAGCCCTTTGCACAGGTAGTTTAACTATTTGAAAATTTCATTGATTGGAAATGTTATTGTATTTTCAATGTCCTGTTTCTAGCTCCTTTCGATGTTGTGAAAACTCAGCGTCAGGTCTCGTTGGGAAAAGTTATCACCACAGGGACCAAACCCAGGTAAGTCATTTTTACGATATTGCTATTTAATGTGTTCTGTTCAGATCCACAAGTACAATGTCAGTTATGCAGGACTTGGTTTCTAATCGAGGATTTACAGCACTGTGGGCAGGTTAGGACTAATAGCGTTATGAGAAAGAGTCAAATTACAAATTGCAGCTTTGAAATTACTTTTAGGAAGTGTTCCGAGGATAGCCAAAATAGCCCCGGCTTGTGCCATCATGCTTGGATCTTACGACTTTTGGAAGTTGTATTTTGCTCATCGAAATAGTCTCAAAGATTGATTATCTCTTGTTAGCTTTTTTGTTAGGCCATATGATACCAAATAGGGTCTAGCTTTACTATTAGTGTAAGCTTTAACTATACAAAGTAAATGTAGTTTAATATATCAATAAATGCTCGATCTTACATTTAGTATGATTTTGTATCTGCTTTAGATTAGGTTTTCATTTATATTTTAAACATTTAGTCATTGAATTTCCTTCTATTCCAAATAATAGATGTGTTGTTCATGTGCATATTGTTATCTATTCTGTTTCCTGTCAAACTCTTGAGGAAAACTGGTAAATCATTATTGCGATGGTTGTTTTGCTCCAGTGATTGTAGTTGTCTTTTTGTTATCACTTTCTTTTTTTAGCATTTTTCTCAGTAAATAATTACATAACAAACTCAAATTTATTTCAAAAGTAGCAGAGTTAAATTAACACACCACAATGAACCGGCGAATTTGAAAACTAGCACTTTGCGAAAAGGGACTAGTTGGTGTTTAGAGTGGCAAGCGGGCTGTGCATCGAGATCACCCATGAGATCAAGTTTTACATTAGTCATACTACAAAGATTTTGAAAAAAAAAGAAAGAAAAATGTGGAAAGTGTTGGTGAAAGGGCCGATAAGCTGTGCTTCTTCAGTTCTCATTGGTGTAGATGATCACCGACTCGTAGGAAGCCTCTCCAAAAGGATTGCGAGCTGTGCAACGGAACTCCATCTGTGCCACCTCAGAGTTCACCGGACCAAACACTATCAGATCACCCGATGCTTGTTTCTGGAAGATGTTCTTTTAATCTATTTCTTTTCTTGGGTTTTTTTGCCGTCATGACCGACTGGATAAGGGGCATGCATCTTAGCCGGAAGAGCAGGGGTTCAATGCCGCTGGCTAGATTATTTATTCTTTTTCTCAAAACTACTCTTTTTTCTATGGATTTTTCTTTCCTATATTTAGGGCTTAGGGCTGATGCTTTTGAATTGTTTGTACACACATTATTCGTGTGAATAAATATTGATACCTGGAAGCGAACGTCATTTTCGATGGACACCTCACGTCCTTCATCATCGACTCGTGTCCATGCGATTCGTGGCTTTGGCACGCCAACCGCTCGACACATCTGTGACTTTTGACTATGCAACTACACAACTCAAATCGTTAACGATAAGTTGTATCCAACTATGATACAACTCAAATCTTTAACTATTTTGTGTGCTATTTGTATGATTTAACTCACCAAATGAACCGGGTTCTGCGCCATTTCAATGCGAGTCATCGTGGCTTGGGTGATCACCGGTGGATAGGTGGCTCTGCATCGGCTTTCTGAAAAGAATAATTGTTTTCTTATTTTCTTATTTGGGCTTCATTTTTGTGGGCACCTTTTTCCGAGTAGTCAACGCTGAGAGTGGCCGATTGGCTTTGTGTTGCTCCGCAACGTGTGTCCGCCTGACAAGTGTACTTGCCGGCGTGCGCTTTCGAGAAGCACGGGATGACGAGCCGGGACTCGACGGTGGCTGAAATTGTTTGCATCTCAAAAAAAAGTGTTTAATTTCCGTGGAAGTCCTCTGTCACTTACCGATTCCGATTTGCACTCTTGGTGCGAGTTCTTCTTCGATCAAAGTCTCATCCGGATTTAAAAGCTTTCCATCCTTGTACCAAGAGATTCCTGTCTAAAAATTTCACTTTCAATTGCTTTGAAATTCACATTCATACCGGCGGCGAGGCCGTCACTGAGCACAGCAGAGTCACCGATTCACCACGAGGCACTGATCCATCCTGAAATGGAGAAAGGTAGCTCCCGTTTACTTCAGGCCTGCTAACTCCGCCCCTTTTTCAGTCCGTTTCCCGTTGGCAATCTACGTATTTTGCTCGTATCTTTGCCGGGTTTATTTGGAAACGGCTGAATTTCCTTTCATTCGATGCGAAATCAGATTTTCTATCGAATGAAAGAGCAAATTCAATGTTTTATAAACAAACCTCGTTCAAGATACGAGCAAAATTCGTAGATTACCAACAGCAAACGGATCGAAGAAAGAGGCGGAGTTAAGATGACTGACTTACTTGAAGTGTTTGTTCGAGAACGGCGATCGAGGCCTCGGAAAGGGAGGAGCAGCGAGCTTTGGTCTTGGTGTTGAGGAGAGAAGCGAGCAGCGAGCCTCCCTCCACCACCCACACCAAAACGCTACCCAACAGGAGCGCGCAACTCACAAAGCGCATCCCTGAAATCAAAAATGCTTTCAGTTAATCGTTTAACAAGTAAAAAAAAATTTGAAATTCTTTTAAAGAAGAGAAAAGACTTTTTTCAAATTCAAACTTTTTCAAGTCAATTTTCAAAAAAGTTTTAGCTTTTTGAGTTTGAGCCGAAGAAATTTAAGCTTACAGCTTAACAGATTAACAGCTTACAGCTTAACAGCTTACAGATTACCAGCTTACAGCTTAACAGCTTACAGCTTAACAGCTTACAGCTTAACAGCTTACAGCTTAACAGCTTACAGCTTAACAGCTTACAGCTTAACAGCTTACAGCTTAACAGCTTACAGCTTAACAGCTTACAGCTTAACAACACTTATTTCAAATTTCAAGTAGCTCCTTCTCAGGGTGAGGGGTCAAATGAATGAACGCTTTGAGCAAGAAGCAAGAGGAAAAAAATCTCTCAAGCTTTTCGGGAGCAAGCGGAAGAGAGCCGAGAGGGAATGGCAACATCGGTGAGTGGCCGAAGGGGACAAAGAGGTGAATTGACCGGATCATCTTTCCTTTCAGCTATTCTCCACATGCTCTCTCGTTGTTTTTGCCTCCTCATGGTGGAGAGATGTGCCCCCCCCCCTTTTGCGCTTCTTCAAATATTCCCTCTACATAAGCGCTTGAAAAAGGTTCCCCTTAAACAGAAGCTTTTCCCCATTCTTTTCCTTTCTCGAAACCGAATCCACCAAAACCAAACAAGTGAGGTCACACAAAAAATGCCGCCATCCCGAATGGCACATCGAAAAAAAAAAACACCAACTCGGCGCTAAACTTTTTGCCGAAAAGGCAATGATTTTTTTTCGCAAAGGGCTCTTATTGCATTTTCTTTAGGTCAAAAAAAGGAAACTTTTGCCTACAAATGGAAAAATTCATGGAAAATTTGGAAAATTTGGAAAATTTAGATAAAATGAGATGACTCTTTCATTTTTGTGGCTTTTTTTGGAGGAAATGGACTTTGAATGAGAAAAGGGGCATTCGAGCAGTGAAAAGCTCAATGGATAATCCGCTTGGATCAGCAATGCCATAATGAGAAACCCATGAACAAAAAGAGCATTTAGAAAAATTTCTTTTTTTTTCGAAAAAGATGATGTTGTAATTCGATTTTTTTTCGAAAGAAATTCGAAGAAATGATAAGAAAAGGTGGGAGTTTTGTGGATGAATGAGGAGGGGAAAACTCGAGAAAGCCACTGCCAGGGCCAGTACAATAACAAGGATTGACCTAGAAGAGATTTTGGAGAATTGAGAGAAATAAATCGAGTGGCACTACTTGACCCTTTTTGCGATCTCTATAGGCAATCAGAAATCAATCAAATGAGATCCGTGTTGTCAATAATTGGAAATTACAAGTACATAGCTGGTTTTTTTTGCAATAAGTTTCTGTGCTGAATAATCAGCACCGCAATTTACACTTAAGGGTAGTTAAAAGTCGAAAAAAAGTGAACTACGGAAAAGTACAAATTCCACTTAATTCTTGTCTTGCCTGAATATCTTTTCTTCCCCAAATATGGGGAAGAAAAGCATATACAGTATACATCCCCTCTGTCCCTCTGACTAGGGAGAGGCACCAACTTAAGGTGGAGTTTAAGCCTTAAGGTGGAGTTTAAGCCTTAAGGTGGAGTTTAAGCCTTAAGGTGGAGTTTAAGCCTTAAGGTGGAGTTTAAGCCTATAGAATGCTACCTTGGTAGTTTGACGCGGGGAATCCGAATCCGTTTTTCCTGCGAACGTTTCAATCACCAGATATTTGGCATGAAAGTTTTTGGTTTATTATACAGTGGTGGAAAAGTTGCACCCTCTGCAACCGGGCAAATCGTAAATACATAATATTTTTAGAAGACCTTTTCAACAAAATTACTTAATAGGTAGAAGACAACTGGGCGCAGTTAACCTGATAGAATTTATTATAATTTATTTAATTTTTGAAACATCTTGATGTACATTAACCATCAATAACAAAAAACACTCAACGCAGAAAAAAATTTGCACCACAGACAAAAAGCTTAAGCTTCAGTTTCTAGTCGATTCTCCTTGAGCTTTAACGATCTCTTTCATGATTTGGCATACTTGCAACCAAGCTCTCGAGTGTCCGTGGCGAAATCGACTTCTAAGTCTCTTGCACCTTGTCCCAAAGCTCATCCTTCAAAGAAAACTGGTAGCCACGCAATTGTGGTTTTACATTTGCCCACAAATGTCCAATCGGGCTACAATCGCGAGAGCAAGGCGGTGTTTTTAAAAGAAAAACCTCGTTGATTCGAAACCAGCCAAGAAGATGAACAAAACGACCATTCGAAATCTTAACTTTTCGGCCCATCATCAATCCGCTTATGTTTTGGATCGTTATCTTGTTGAAATAACCAGGAAAACCCCATATTTGCACGAGCATACGGAAGCATCAAGTCCTTTAATATTTCACTATATTTTGGTCCATCCGTAATGCCATCGATTCGAACGAACCAGCACATTACACCACCACCATTAAAGTTGAGTGTTGGTCTGGTGTATTTGAGTCGATATCTCTCGATAGCTATTGAGCTCCAATCGATCGTTTGATCACATAATAGCCATTCGCGTTGAAAATATCTTGCACTCGCCACCAAAGAGCACATGCTTTCAGCTCTCAATTGACGCAGTTGATGTTCTAACACAAACTGTAATCATTGCTACATGTGTCGTAGATTCATCAACGGTTTGAGCGCCGACCTCCTCGAGGACACTCCCAGTATTTTGAGTCGATTTCGCACACTCCTCGCGGTTACATTCACTCCAAATCTTCGTTTCAAGAGCAATTTTCCATCGCACGGGCGAGTGGGAGATAGAAAATGGTATTTGTGCAGGGCTCGATCTTGATTCTTCGTCGTTTTGCATTGGTGGTCACTGCCTGTCTTTCTTCGCGTTGCCAATTTGAAAATATCGTTTGCAAATCTTATTCACCATTTCAATGCACCGTCCATTCCGATACGCCAAACAATCGTTTGATGGTCTTGGTTGAGTCCAATCCATCAAGCTTTGGCGATTCTCTCCTTCATTCGCGTGTCCAACTGTTTCCTTCCCGGCATCTAAAATAAGAGCATTATAAATTGTAAAGAAATAGGCAAGGAAAAAAAAAGATTTAAAGATTAAAAACGCCAGTGATGCAATTGTTTTTCCATCCCTTTTTTAACAAACTCCCATCTAAAAAAGACACCATTGAATAAACTTTCTTTTTATTTTTAAGAACACTAGTCAAGCAAGCAAACTTAAACAACTAAAATTAAATGGCGGCGCTGTTAAATGTGCTTTTTTTGCTAAAAACAAGGTTTTTTTTCGAGGGCACAATTTTTTTTCCACCACTGTATATTGTCATTCTGTTTTTTTAGTCAGTTTGTTGTTGCTTGTTTGTTGCTTGCTTGTTTGTTGCTTGCTTGTTTGTTGTTGCTTGTTTGTTGTTGCTTGTTTGTTGTTGCTTGTTGTTTGTTGTTGCTTGTTTGTTGTTGCTTGTTTGTTGTTGCTTGTTGTTGCTTGTTTGTTGTTGCTTGTTGTTGCTTGTTGTTGCTTGTTTGTTGTTGCTTGTTGTTGCTTGTTTGTTGCTTTCGTTTGTTGTTGCTGTTTGTTGCTTTTGATTTTATTTGTGAGCGAGCCATCGTTCAATCTGAATCCTTTCAAATGTCAATCTCGTTATTTGAATCCGTGCAAGTAACCCGTTGGGTTAAAGTCAAATACAGATAACAAATAAATCGTGGTTAGTTAAACGAAGCTTGTACAATAAAGTGCAAAAGATCGAGAGTTTTTGGTTTAAAAAGATCGAGGGTTAAATCCAGATAAACTTATGTTAGAACAAGAACATTTTGATACATTTCGCAGGGGTTTTCGAAATTTTTCTCTTAGCTGCAGTTGAGAGAAAAATTTCGAGTTCATAAATCAAAGAATAGCAATAACTAAAATGGAAATGCGTTCAACATCCAAATCAAATCTTTTTACGGCGATTAAAACTCGTTTTTTGGGAGTGGGACAAATGCGACCTTTTTTTTGCGCACCCGGACATTTGCGCACCTTTTTTTCCGCACCTTGCCCATTAGCGCACCTTTTTCGCGTTTTAAAAAAGCTCTAAAAAGCTAATATTAACCAATTTCTATTCCAAATGTTGTTTTACTAGGTAATTTTAGGGCGTAGAATCGAAATTTTGACATAACAGAGCGTGTGGAACCAATTTGAAAGACAAAACGGCTAGATCAAATTACGGAAAATTGTCGATTTTTCTCTTTGTATAACTCCGTCCGTTTGTTTCCACAAGCTCTGATATGTCAAAATTTCGATTCTACGCCCTAAAATTACCTAGAAAAACAACTTTTGGAATAGAAATTGGTTAATATTAGCTTTTTAGAGCTTTTTTAAAACGCGAAAAAGGTGCGCTAATGGGCTAAGTGCGGAAAAAAAGGTGCGCAAATGTCCGGGTGCGCAAAAAAAAGGTCGCATTTGTCCCACTCCCCGTTTTTTTTATAAACCGCGAAAAATAAGAAGTACTGGTAATCAAGAAAGAAGTTTTGATTGAAAGTCGCTTTTTTTTACTCATACCAACTATATATTAAGCAAAAAGTTGGGTAAAAAAAAGGTTAGACAAATTTTTGAATGGTGAAGAACACCTGCACAATGGGGAACGATTGAGAGAAAGTTTTCACGCTTTTGCCTCAATTTTCATGCCAGGTGCTATTGGATTCCCATTTTCAGTGGCCACAAAAATATGGGGCAAATGTCAATGAGACGTCATTGAGACGTCAAAAATGGGCCGAGCAAAGGCGATCAAACTCTTTTTTTTCACCCACCTACGGGCCATCTTCAGGAATAATTCGATTCATTTGTGAGCGCCCAAATAGAAATGTGACTCATTTGCCATCTGAAGATCTTTCTGATGGTCTTGAGTTTTGTGTGTGTTTTTTTTGTCGATTTTCTTCCCGCCAATCTTACACAATGGTTTTCAGAGAAATTTCTGAAAGAATAGAAAA